AAAATGTGGTACTGTTGTATGAAAAAGCCATATAAATCAAATGCTTATTAACCTGATACTTACAAACAGTCTATTTTCAATCCAATGAGAAATGTGGTGTCTGTGGATTCTTCTTCCTGAACTGAACTGACATGTGGTCATTAAGACATCAGTGACATTTCTCCAGACTTTTGACTCTCTGCATAAATTCTGGTCCATTTTGCAGTTTACTCTGTCCAAGAACCACCTGATTCGAAAGAAAGTGACAAAGCTAAACCTAGACTAGCAGAGCGAGTGAGATAGAAGCCCTAACTGGGAAGTAGCAACTTCAAATCGAATTAGAGTGCATTCAGTTTCATATCTTCCAGTCACATCATTTTCACCGCACGTGTCCTTCCTTTTCTCCAGAGTACATGCAGAATCAAATGAGCTGGGCTAAGAATAAGAAGCTTCTGGATTCAGAGTCCCCAGGTGTACTGCTATTTGATTTCTGTAAACGTGTTTTCTTTCTTTCAGACTCTAAGTTAATTTAAGATGATTTAGACACTAAAGCAGTGAGTGAATGGTTCATGCTGTAGGTGTAGATGACAAAGTCATAGTCTATTATAGAGCAGTATGATAGGATGTAGTAGTAAGCACCAATGACTTGTACTTATAGTCATTTTAGACTGTTGCAACAGAGATGGAAATACAATTTTTAATACATGAAATATGTTTCCATCTTTGTTGCCACAGTTTTGGAAGTGCATTTTCTGTTCTAAAGAAGTGTGCCAATACTTTTGTCCATATAGTGTATGTACAAGTCATTGGTGTTTGGTGATGAGTTTTTGGCTCAAGGTCTGCATTTTACGTCACACCAGAGGTGTTCAGCTGGGATTAGGACTTGGCTTTATGCAGACCAGTCAAGTTCTTCCACACTGACTGAATCAATAATTTCTTTTTGAACCTTGCATTATTCACAGAGGTATTGTCATGTTAGAAGAGAAAAGGGTCCTGTCCAAACTGTTGCTATACAATTAGAAGCACACAATTCCCTAGACTATTATTATATGCTTAAACATTAAGATTTGTACTCATTGAAATTACTAAACCAGTCAAACCTGTTCATTAGAAGGGGGTGTCCCAATACTTTTGTCCATATAGCGTATATATATATATATATATATATCATTTTTGTATTGCAACAAAAGATGACAAATTGTTAGTTAAAAACAGTTGTGCTGCTATTTTTGTGGAGACCATGCTACATTTTTTTTCAGGATTATTTGAGGAATATAAAGTTCAAAAGAACAGCATTTACAGAAAAATGTCTTAATTTGAACCCATCCTTTCAGATTACTTTTTTATTAACAATCCTAATTTTTATGTTTTAATGCTTTGCAGCATGTTCTGTATTGGAGTGTAAATACCTTTTTCTTTTTTTTTTTTTTTAAATATCAGACATTATGTTGGTTATTGGTCATAATAACTACTGGCTATTGTATCGGCCAAATATTTAAATATTGCTACATTTCATGCCTCTACATCGAGTGCATTAAAGTGATGGGTCTGTGCAGAGAAACAGGATTGAGGGTTGACTGTGAGTGAGCTTTTATGAAAGATCGATGTGTTGACCAATGGCTTAATAACAAACACTGTAAGAGCTTCAAGACTGAATAGGTTTTAGATGATGTAAGTCAAAAAGTGCAGACTCCGCTATGACCGTACACACTGACTAACACAACATCAACACACTATACACACATAAACTCTAATTTTAGAAATTTCAGTTGTCATCATTCACTTTTAGTGGAGATGTTTCCATGTTGCAGATGTTACAGTTTTGATATATTATCCCTGTCGTGAATATTTTACACTCTTAAAAACAAAGCTTCTTAGTTGGCAGTGATGATTCCATGAAGATCCTTTAAAATCCATGGAAACTTTCCATTGCACAAAAGGTTCTTTGTATTGGAAAAAGGTTCTACACATTATTAAAAAAAAGTTTTTTACACTAAGAAAAACATGGCTTCTTTGGGGAACCAAAAATGGTACTTCTATGGCATTGCAAAAACCTCCCTTTAGAACTATTTTTAAGTCTCTCTGGATAAAAGTCATTTGTGAAATTTCTTGCGTACACATAAAAAAGCTCTCGTTGTTTTTAGTGCAGGCCTCTGACACAGCACAATTTGCCAGTCACAGCAGCTGTGATGGGCGAAACATAAGCATCCTGAGTAATGATGTTCAGTAAGTGATGATAACTTGTATTCCCCTGGGAGCATTGCTCTCTCCACACAGATATCTGAGACCTGGCGCCTCTCTGCATACACTGCTCATGTTTATCACTGTATTGATCCTGTCCTCTGCTTGTCCATTTATCAGCATGACAAGACCTTTTCAAGCTCAAATGAACCATATGTCAAACATCTCTCTTGTGGTGTGGTGTTTTTAACATATTTACAGCAGTCTTACAGCCTGATCTTTATCTGCTACATCATCAAGGTCATACTCGCAAATACAACTGCATGTAGCATCATACTGGCGACCAATCACAGTTCTCTAGCATTGTGGCAAAAATGTTTGTTTTATAGATTCTGTATGCTGAGTAACACTGAAACAGCTTATTGTACTCTGGTTGACTGGGTCTGTCCTCCAGGTTAAAGGAACTTGATTGATGGCCCATCTTTGCCCTGTTTTCTGTGTAAGTCTGTCTTTGTTTTAGTTACACAGCTCTTGCTCTACTCTGGAGACTATCAGTTGTCATAAAGGATCAATGTTTTATAGATTTATTATTTTTTTTTGCATCTGAACAGATTCTGCTGCTGTTCAGTCTGTTGCTTTTACAACATCAATAACATGAGATGCAGTGCTTGTTAAGGATGACAATGTCTTACTGTAATCTAGCACCATCTGTAGTAAAAAAAAAATGTTTTTGATTCATATTAAATAATTTTTAAGTGGTGGAATGGCACTTTACAAGATTAGAGTTGGAAATAGGACTTGCATTTCAGATTTGTTCTGTTTAAAACCTGTTAAAATACTCATATTTATAAATCAAATGAGAGTAGTGTAGATTAATTTGTTGTCTACTATGACTTTAATTAAGGGGGGACAAAAATATGTATAAAAAGATTTTATATTGATAAAAAAAACAGTGCATGATTTGTGTGATAGTATTTTCTGAAAATAATAAAAGTATGAGTTTTAAAAGTATGACAACCCTATTTATTAAAAGTGTCAAATCTGAGTTTTTTAAAATAACTAAGACAGTTGTACATTTAGCATATAAATGTGAAAAATATTGTTCATTGTAACTTATATGGTGACACTTTAGAGTAGGGGCCCATTCTCACTATTAATAGTTGCTTATTAGCATGCCTATTATTAACATATTGGCTGTTTATTAGTACTTAAAACACATATTCTGCATGACCATATTCTACGTTGCTAATCCTACCCAATGTACCTAAATGTAACTACTACCTTTCTAACTATTAATAAACAGCAAATTAGGAGTTTATTGAGACAAAAGTTATAATTAATAGTTTGTTAATAGCGAGACTTGAGCCTTAAAATAAAGTGTGACCACATATTTTATAGTCTGTCCTATAGAAATCATAATTCCATTGTTCTAACCATGCTAGTGAAGTGGCATCAATGGTTTCACCTGTTCCTACTATGCTCTTACAACACCATAACTATGGTTAATATATAAACAAACTACGGTACATCAAACTACAGAGATCTTAGTGTTCAGTGCTTGTCTTAGGTCTTACCTGAAGGACTCACACACAGTGGTAGATGCATGGATCTCTTGTGTGCGGTTTAACCAGCAGGTGTCAGTGTGCTGAGGTCTAAATTAATGAGGTGTAGTTACTTTTGCAATCCAAAAGGTGGTGTAGAAGTATTTTGACCGAGAAAACACATACTGTTGCAGTATTCCCTCCATTACCATTATGGGGACCAAATGTCCTCCTCACAAGTATAGTAATACAAGTAAATGTTGACCTTGTGAAAGAAAGCATTTATTTGGAAAATAAATATTTTGTAATCGTTACTGTCACTGTTAAAAGTATTTTTTTAATTACATCAATACTGTAGTTATTGAGACTATCTAGACTCTGAGAGTTAGTGATTAAGTGAGACCCTACTAAGAAATAGTTTCCTTTCTCCATAGCATCAGCAGTAGTTTAGCAGATACCATCAAATTCAGGGGGATTTATAGTACAATCCCACTGGAGCATCCTTCAGGTTTAAGTGCCTTTTTGAAGCAGTTGGGTCTTTGACTACAGTAGCTGTGTGTTGGAGCGTACCATTCCCCTCCAGGTAGATTTGTATAAGTGGCTTACAGTTGCCCCTGTGTATTTATTCCCATGTGTTCCTGACAGCCTCCACTGTGGTCTTCCCCAAACTCCTCCCCAGCTCAGAGCAGCACGCTATGTGCCTCAGGTGTCTCTGTAGACTTGCCGTTTGTCACACAGTTTTTATTAACAGTTTCATGTTTTTTCTCTGAAACAAACCCTTTTTAATTGCGTCTCTATTCTTATACACGCACATTTGTGAAGTACACACACACACACACACACACACACACAGACACACCTGTATGCACGACACGTAAGGTCTGAAATAACGAAAAGGCCGATAAGCAAACATCAATCCTTGTGTGTTTTGTGTGCCAAAGTGTGTCCATTTATAACTGTCTATTTTGTACATCAATGAAACATACTGAGGTTAAGACAGGAGGTAAATATTGTTTTATATCTTATTGCTTTATATATGAAGAACACACACACACACACACACACACACACACACACACACACACACACACACACACACACACTCAATCACAGCTGGAATATAGCTGGATACCTCTACATCTGGACAGACAGGTCCATGGATACCTCTTCCTCTCTCTCCCTCTCTCTTCCTCTCTCTCCCTCTCTCTTCCTCTCTCTCCCTCTCTCTCCCTCACTCTCTCTCTCTCTCCCTCTCTTGTCCCTAGTTCATACATGGCGATATATATTCAGATTCAGCAAGTGAGGCTTTTCTCTCTTCAGCCAACCAATAGACTGGAGTAACTCTCTGCAGGGGAAAAAAGAGACAACAAACTGCACTGAAGAGGGAATTCACAGCGGATCAGAGTAGTTTAGTCTAAAGAGTTATTCAAAGGGATTTGTGGGAGGACACTGGCACAGTTTGTCCATTATCACCTTATTTAAAGGAGCTATTGGGAAAAGCAGAACAAGGACTCCAACATTTGCTTTAAACCATATGGGACTATTTCACATCTGAAGTGATATAGGAGAACCTGTGCACGGTTTCTGTGGCGGCTGTGGTTTGTCATCATGGCACATGCAGCAGCACACCTGAAAAAGGCACGGGAACTGGAACAACCTCCTGAGATAAAGGCTCTCGTAAAAGCCAGAGAGAGACGCAAGAGACACAGAGAGAGAGCAGAGCGCAAACGCAAGGTATACTAACACTTAAAAACCTCAATTAAAAAAAAACTCAAATTCATATGTGCCAGCTCAGATACAGCTGACCTATCACATGTGTCGGTTTAAAGAATTCTGCGATCATTTAATGTCAAAATCTTTACATTTATCATTGCAAAGTCTAGAAAGTGTAATCACACATGGCCCTAATACTATTTAAAATAGTTTATTTCATAATATCCAAATGTAGCATCTAGTAATCCAGTTGTTGTTCTTCATATTTTAATCTGTATTTATTCTGTGTGAATTGTTCGTTTTTGTTCTTTCAGTGTTAGCAGAAGTTAATGCAAAATCGAATTATTATTAAAAAATATTTTATATTACTTTTGTTTTATATAACTTGCCTTTATCGTTTCTTTATTATTAATAATAATGTTTAATTCTCAATTGTGTACAGAAAGTTATCACCACTGTTACCTGCAGTATATAATAATGAATGCAAATTTTTATGGTTGCATTTTAGTATTTTTGCGCTGCAGATGAGCTCCGGGGATAAATCCTATAGTCAGCTGTTCCGCACCTGTTTCAGAGCACAGATACTGGAAGAGGCTTAGGAAATAGGATCATCCTGTATGCAGATTTGTCTCTAGAGTGCAAAATCTCATTGGCTACATATGAGATGACATAACCTTTTGATATAACTCCTGTATGCTTTAGTTTTGTTCTTGCAATCTGCCAAGCACTTCCAAGTTTTGAAAATGTTTTACTGTATCAAAGATGAGATTTTTTTAATGGCTGATTCAGTTAAAATATATTAATTTCTAGTGAGAAACAACCAAGGAGTAGTGATATTTACCACCTTGTTCAATCTTGTTCAGCAAAATGAACACCTCTTCAGTCATTCTTTTTATTCATTTTAACAGAGTTAAAGGGATAGTTCACCCAAAAAAAAAAATTCTGTCATTAATTACTCACCCTCATGTCGTCCCAAACCCGTAAGACCTTCTTCGTTCATATTCGGAACACAAATTAACACCTATAGCGCCATTTTGGACAGTATCCACTGAACGTAAACAATGTATGCTGTTCTGTGTCAGCTGTGCCACGCGGATACATTTACATTGGTTAGTCTTTGATCTGAACGAAAACAATGTTTCCATGTGCTGCTGCATACGTTGTTTACGTTCAGTGGATACTCTCCAAAATGTCGCCAGGGTGGCGTGGAGGTGAGGAATTGTTGAATAAAGTACTTTATTTTTTTTTCCCCCGCACAAAAGTATTCTCGTAGCTTTGTAAAATTACGGTCGAACCACTAATGTCACATGGATTATTTAAACGATGTCCTTGCTACATTTTTGGACCTTGATCATGGTAGTATCCTTGCTGTGGGAGGGTCACAGAGCTCTCAGAATTCATCAAAAATAACTTAAATTTTGTTCCAAAGATGAACGAAGGTCTTATGGGTTTGGAACGACATGAGGGTGAATAATTAATGACAGAATTTTTATTTTTGGGGGAATTATCCCTAAAATGTTATATTTTCACATTCACATAAAATGTTTGATCATATTCAAGTCAGGAAATAATTGTAATGCAGCCATGGTAAATGGTGAGAACCACAAATGACTACTTCACCTCCAGAGTCTTGTTCATTTGTCAAGTGACAGACGCAATGAATGAATCATTCATGAAATATCCATCACCTCTAAAGAGAGGTTGGAAAGGGTTGAAAAAGCAACAGTGTTGATGGGAGTAAAAGTGTTTGTCTTGTCAGCACAGATGTGTCATAAAACAGACTTGTGTTATGCTATTTGACCTGGATGGCCTTCTGCAACCTATAACTACTTAACTGGCAGTGTCATCATTACAGTGTTTTTAAATGCCTATGAAACTAGAAATCTTAGCAGGTTATTATATTTGAGATACATAAGAAGCTGAGAATATTTACATAGAATTAGAATTTGCATGTGGAAATTTTCACGTATTACATCATTTACATGTAAATAGTACAATATACAGCGTTTTTATAACGTTAGTTCCTGAAAAATATTACTATTATTTTAAATGGGAAAGCCTAGTTATATTTTACAAATATATAAATGTTTTGGGACAAAATTGCTAGTGGGCCCGGTGACGTTTTGCTTGACTCCAAAAGAGTTTATTAGCAAGGATGCATTCAAAAAAAAATTTAATTTTGCATTTATAAAGATTTCTGTTTCTAACAAAAACAGTTCACTGTGTTAATCAGCATATTAGAATAATTTCTGAAGGGTCATGTGACTGGAGTAATGTCTGCTGAAAATGCAGCTTTGCAATAAATAGATTACATTTGAAAATATAATAAAGTAGAATGGTTCATTTAAACTATAATAGTATATTCACATTTTTTGTGAATTTTTCATTAGATAAATGCAGCCTGGGTAAGCATGAGGAAATAATTTGTTTGAATCTTTCCTACACATTTTGGTAACACTTTACAATAAGGTGTCATTTGTTAACATTAGTTAATGTATTAACTAGCATGAACAATGATCAACACATTTATTACAGAATTGATTCATCTTTGTTAATGTTAGTTAATCAAAATGGTTACACTTTACTTGAAGGGGTGTGCATAAGACTGACATGACACCTTCATAATCATGACATGACACATGTCATGAATATGAAGGTTTTTTATGCATGTTTATGACAACTGTCATTAAGTGTCATTCGCTCAGTTATGTAATTTTTTATGCAAAGATGACATTGTTTGAGATGTCTTTGTTATGGGCTATGGTTAGGGGTAGGGTTAGGTCAAATAATGTCATATTTTCATTAAAAATGACATAACTGAGTGAATGACACTTAATGACAGTTGTCATAAACATGCATAAAACCTCCTTCATATTCATGACATGTGTCATGTCATGATTATGAAGGTGTCATGTCAGTCTTATGCACACCCCTTCAAGTAAAGTGTTACCATAAAAATACAGTCGTTCATTGTTAGTTCATGTTAATTCACATTGCATTAACTAATGCTAACAAGCACAACTTGTGATTTTAATAATGCATTAGTAAACGCTGAAATTGACATTAACTAAGATTAATAAATGCTGTAGAAGTATTGTTCAATCTTAGTTCATGTTAACTAATGTAGTTACCTAATGTTAACTAATGAACCTTATAAGTGTTACCCACATTTTTGTATATTAGTCTACAACAGTGAAATAAATGTGTAAATATAAATAGAGATGCCTACTTTACATTCTCAGCTGTACTTGTACATAGAGTTCACTATGCTTTGTTTTTAAAGGCTAATTATGATGTGTTCCTTACTGTTTAAACACGTTTGTCATTATTGCCCCATTAACTGTAGTAAAACCCATAGTAGGCTGGTTAACTGGGGGCATGGCATTGATCAGGGCAGTCAATGGCAGGTCATTATGTCTGTAGTGGAAGTCAACCAAATGCTGAATAGTCTGGTGTCTGGTCAATGCAGACTGCCTCGGGACCAGAGATGACCCACAGACGCTGATGCCTCGATGCCATTTGGTCTGATTCTGTAGCCATTGCTATAGCTGTTTAATCTCGGTTACACTCCTCATGGATGATGAATTGGATTTATGTGGTGTTAAACCATTTTGGAAGAGCTTTTACTTGAGGATGAGAACCTCTTTTAGATGATGTTCCACGATTTACATAGTCCTCCAAATGTATGGCATTTGGTATGGATGGTATGACAACCAACCAAGGGTTTTTGTAAATAACACCCTCTTCCTCAGTTGTCCCGGTGGATGCACATTCCTGGCCCTCAGGAGGACAAGAACAGGTTTCCCAGCTGGCTCTTACCCAGTATGATTGTCCCTTGCTGTCCCTTGCTCTGTCACATTGCTGCTTGGGCCTGGAGGGGTTAAAAATAACCCAGCCCTGGATCCTGGACGGGGTGGATATTCGGCCTGATATAGCAATGGGAGACACATTTACGGCCGCAGTTGTCAGTTACGAAGCCAGGCGGGAAGAGAGACAAGACCGGAAAAGAAGAGGAGACAAGAGCCAAGGCGTCTGTGCCAATACGGGACGCAGATTCTCACAGAAGACACAGAGCAGGGATCAGAGAGAGCACATAAGAGATGGTATTCGGGACCTGAGGAGAAAGATAGACATGAAAGTTTTGGGGATTTCGCATTAGCTGGATAGATGCTCTGAAGCTGATAATTGAATGGGCTCCTGGGTACTACCTGAAGACTGAGGATAATGCAAACCCATAAAGCTAAGTGCATGTGAGCAAGAATCAATCTCCCGGGGAGCGATTTGATGTTCAGTGGTTGGTTATCACTGGAAGAGGCACAGTGAGTGCGGAAACTCGGTTGATGTAAAGTGTAGTGCAGCTTTTTTGCTAAGCTTTACCATGGGCAATGCGGCAATGTGTAAGGCATGTGGTTCAGGTAAAGGCCTGCGGACCATTGGAAGTGATCCATCTCTGGACCGTTACAACAGTTCTGTGGCAGATACCATGGTAAGACAATCTTAATAATATCCAGGTTCAGTAGAGGATTGTTGAGGTGATTTTCTTGCTAAAAAGTCCAGTTGTGTTTGTTATGCTGGGGTCGTAATACAGAACATGTATTCGACTTTCAATGTTCTCTCTCTCTCTCTTTATTTTTTAAATAAATTTTTAAAAATTTTTTAGTATGGTGATTGCAGTTAACATCTCATTAAGGATTTTCAACTTCTCAGATCTTGACTTAAAGGGACAGTTCACCCAAAAATTATTATTATTGTTTTTTTTTTGTTATCAGTTACTTACTCTCACATCGTCTCTAACCTGTATGACTTTTTTTCTTCTGGGGAACATGAGAAATGCACTCTTGGAAATAAAGGTTCCAAAAGGATTTTCTTAGAGTGATGCCAAAAGAAGAATCACTCTTAATTAAATGAACAGTTTTTATAAGAACCATTTATTTTTCTTGGTGTTAATAATCTGAAGAACATTTTTTTTATAAAGAACCTTTACTGTAATGGAATGTTAAAAGTTCTTCATGGAACAACTGTTACTAATAAAGAACCTTTATTATAGTGAGTGTGTTTCAGGTTTTTTTTTTGGTCATAAAATGAAAACCAATGGGCCCATGGTTGTCAGCAACACTCTTCAAAAGATTTTCTTTTGTGTTCCACAAAAGGTTATACAGGTTTAGAGCAACATGAGGATGGGTAAATCATGACAGAATGTTCATTTTTGGGTGAACTATCCTATCCCTTTAAGATAGAAAGCTTCCAATAGGCTTCTTAACTAGTTTAACCAGCAAGACTACTTTGGTCAACTAGCATCACCAGAAAGACCATGTTAACTGACTAGCTTCACTAACTAAGGTTTGCTGGCCATCAGCATGGCTATATGCTGGCCTGGCTGGTTTGACCAGCATCAAAAGAGCACTAACCTACAAAGCCTGCTGGATATTAAAGCTGTTTGATATGGTAGGGGTTTTTATAGTCAGTATTTCAAGACTTTGTAGTTTAATTAATTTTTATATTTGATTTTTATCAAATATAGTATAGTATGTCTTACCTCGGAAAAAGGTAACAATGATCACCACTAATGTAAAAGTATTCATTAGCAGTGGTATCACTTTTATTTCTATGAAAAGTGTAATTAATGAGAATTTAAGAGAACAATTTGATCAGGAAATGTCATGAACCAGATTTGAACTTTTGTTGCTTACATGAGCTCGAATAGTGGAGCATGTGTGAGTGCAACTTCATCAGCAAATGTACAGTGTCTGTTTCCATTGGATAGGTCTTATTCAGATCCCGCATTTGTTAAGATGTGACCTCTCAATCTCAGAAGGAGCAGAGGTCATGTCTCAAACATTTTGGGCAATAGTCTGTGATGACCTGACACATTAATGCTTCACACTCCACATGACCTGAGAGCTACTGATCTGTATATTAGCATCTTAAATACCGCTGCCAGAACTTAGCACCAATGCTCTTGTCAGTTCTAATGTAACAAGATTAAAATAAATACCTTAATATACTTGCTTCCGTTATTGAAAATGCTTGACTTTAGAGGTTTTAATATTTTCGTAACAATACTGTTTGTATGTTTTAATAAATTTTGTGTAGCTTTTGAAGGGTAATTGAAAGGTACCTGTACTCTCTACTTGCTCTGTAGTGTTCATTAATCAGATTTTGTGTTGGTATTGCACATGCTGTTTTTATTGTCACAGTTGTGACTTATGCCAAAGGCTTTAAAAGCGATTGCTCTGAAGTAGTATAATCAACACATGTTTGGTTGTTGATGCCAAATCTGAAATTTGACCTTGGCATTAATTTTCTTCCTCACATGGCAAGAGTTTCAGTGCATAACCATGCACACATGCAGATCTCTCTCTCTCTCTCTCTCTCTCTCTCTCTCTCTCTCTCTCTCTCTCTCTGTGTCTGTGTGTGTGTCTTGTCAGCTGCCTTCATTCTGTTTTGCCGTCTATATTTAGCAGAGTCACATTCAAACACAATTCTGATAAAAGGAGATGCACCCACTGAAATCACAACCTTCACATACTCGCTGAGACTTAAGCACATACCATAATCTTTGAGAAAATGAGAAATATTTACAGTACTGTTCAAACATTTGGGGGCAGTAAGATTTTTTTTAAATGTTTATGAAAGAAGTCTCTTATGCTCACCCAGGATGCATAAAAACAGTAATATTATGAAATATTATTACAAATGAAAATAACTTGCTGTTTTAATAGCCTATATTTAACAAATGTAATTTATTCATGTGATGGCACATGCACACATGCAGATCTCTCTCTCTCTCTCTCTCTCTCTCTCTGTCTCTCTCTGTGTCTGTGTGTGTGTCTTGTCAGCTGCCTTCATTCTGTTTTGCCGTCTATATTTAGCAGAGTCACATTCAAACACAATTCTGATAAAAGGAGATGCACCCACTGAAATCACAACCTTCACATACTCGCTGAGACTTAAGCACATACCATAATCTTTGAGAAAATTAGAAATATTTACAGTACTGTTCAAACATTTGGGGGCAGTAAGATTTTTTAAAAATGTTTATGAAAGAAGTCTCTTATGCTCACCCAGGATGCATAAAAACAGTAATATTATGAAATATTATTACAAATGAAAATAACTTGCTGTTTTAATAGCCTATATTTAACAAATGTAATTTATTCATGTGATGGCAAAGATGAATTTTCAGAAATAATTACTACATTTCGATTCCATTCGGTCTTACTGACCCCAAACTTTTGAATAGTAAGTGTATATTATCAGAAATGTCACAGATCACACCATTTGTTCTTGTTTAATATCTTGGAAATATGTCACATTATGGAAGTAAAATGAGTCGCATTGAATTTGATCACTTGAATATCGCTTTCAGTTTTTTACTAGTGCTGGGCTGATGTTTCCTAATGTTTTTCCTTTGTGTTGTCTAAACAGTCGGACAGTAACACCAGCTTCCTGAGGGCAGCCAGGGCAGGTAATGTTGAAAAGGTGCTGGAGTTCCTCAAGAGCGGACAGGACATTTCCACATGCAACCAGGTAACTTTATACATGAAACAGAATTTCAGTGTTGCAAAAATCTAAGAAATAATTGTAATGTCTTCTCGTTTATTTTCTTCTCATCATATTTCATATTTTTTTTACAATGCATTTCAAATGAATTCACCAATTGGAGGTTTTCCACACTGTTACATCTCAAGCCATTTAGATTATGTATTTATATGAATTAAATCTAATCTATTGAGATAAAATCTGTTGAGTAAAGCTGAATTTGAAGTCCATGGTTCTCCAGGAAGCGGGTATAGCCATAAACTTATTTCCAGCTTACATGTTCTGTCAACTCTGTGTTAGCTCCAAACTCTTTAGAAAGTCTTAGTAGATTATGCTTTGTGAGTGGAGGATAATCCCGATTATTAGAAATGTGTATGCTTTTTTTTACTTTGCTTTCCTCAATTTTTGTCCAGCCTGGGCACAAATTGCATTGTTATGATTGTATATAGAGAGCCATACTGATTCCTGACAAATGCTACATTGTCAGCATTATCAGCTAGTCCTCTGCCAAGCAATTCTTTCTAGTACATCAAAGCCTTTTTACTCATGCGTGTCTCTGGCAGCTGTTCCCACTCCCGACCTTCTGTACCTTCTGCTTAACTAAACCCTCCCACTGTCACAGCACTGCTGTGTTCAACCATTCCTTACAAATTACCCCTGGCATAACAATGCACTGATATCACAGAATATATTGAAGCTAATTGATCTTCAGTCTTAAAATGTGTGAAGTCCATATTAAACTGATTTCTTTTGAAATCAAACATAGTCAAATGCAAACATGCATGTAAAAAAAACATTATTTAAAATTATATAAAAAAATATATACACTCAGAAAAAAAGATACAAAACTGTCAGTGGAGTGGTACTTACTAAGATGTACTTTTATGTATTAATATGTATCATTTAGGGGTAAATAATGTACAAAGATGTTATTTTTAACTTTTGTACCTTAGGGTATTGCCCGAATGACAGCTTTTTAACTTTTTTTTCTGAGAGTGTTTGATTAAATTGTCCTTTTATGAATCTACAGGAAATACCACATGCAAAATACATTCAGTGAGGTTTGGCACAGACACGAACTGCAAAATTTTCAACCAATCATCTTCACAGTGTTGGTTTTAGCAAGGTGTGCCAACTGCCAAACAAATACTCTTGAGCCATGGAATCAACATGGAAAAAAAAGAGAAAAACAGTGTTTTAAGTGCCTTGATGTTACAGTAACATTTTTTTGGTGTAAAACTTTTTATGATTGTAGAATAAGGCACATTTCACTAAGTCTGACTGCCATGTGTCCAAATGAAATATTATATATGCTGATACATGATATAAACAACCTTTTGTGAAATATTTCCCTTGAAAAGTGCCATTGTGCTGTTTATTTATTGATTTTTTTATTTGACATTAAATGCAACTGGACGTGAAATAGCAAAAAAAAAATGTAATGTAAGTGACAGGTCTTGTCAAACTAGTAACAATAAAAAATAATCCTATATAATTTAATTCGTTTATTCAAATTTTCAGTTGAAATGGACTGAAATGACATCAGAGACAAATGTCATAGGGTTGCTATGACCCCTTTATTATGTAATGTGCTGAATTTGCCTCTGCTATGATGTATAATAGATTTGACCATGACATTATCCATTATGATGTCATCTGGAGTCACCAGTAATGAGCACATCAGTACAACAATGGACGGGCATTCCATGCTGTTTTCTCTCAAATCCACTCTTCTAATCCTCGCTGAGTGATATTGCAATATAATCTGCCCATGGTTTATCTATTTTTTTTTCTTTCCACTCTTACCGGAATCTCTCTCTCTGGATGTGAAAACTCCTCCAGCTTTCATTATCCAAATAAATGAGATTAGCGTTTCGCTAATTCTCTCTGCTTTTAATGACGAGTCTGACTTTTAGCCACACTGCGTTACACAAGAGCTGTCATGATTTACCCATCAAGCACGGAATGAGGTGCATTAGTACATTAAGACAGGTGGTGATGTTTGAATAAAGGGAATGCTTATTTACAGCTTGAGAAAAATGGATTAAACACTAAAATTCAATTTTTAAACATGTAAGCTTGATTTACTAATAAGTGACTTTTTACATGATATAATGAAAATCACATATGTCATAATGACTCAAATTCACAATTGCCATTTTTCTGGTCATTGCACTAAAATATAAAAAAGGCTGTTGCCAAATTTAGCCATAGTAAATCTGTGATAATTGTTCTTTACAAGTAGGATTTTCAAGCAAGAGATAAAATAAAATAAAATAAAATTGTTATACTATATTATGTTCTAATATATTCAACATGAAATTTCCATAATTAATCTTTATTTTTTTGTAGTTAATCTTTTTCAGCTATACGTAACGATTCTCCAATTAATGAACTCAGAGAATGTATCTCAGAGATCTAGTATAGGAAACATTTTTATTCTAGCATTATAAAATGACCCTTCCAAAAGTTTTTTAATGCAGCTTGTATATTGCTATTATTTATCATGAGCAAAAGTTGTTGTTGTCTTCTTCTGTATTGTATCCCAATATCAAATATGTACTGATTGTATTAATCAAGAAAATGTATTAATCACGTCTCTCTCTGTGCATAGAATGGACTCAATGCGCTCCATCTAGCAGCCAAAGAGGGTCACGTGGAGCTGGTGGAGGAACTTGTGGAGAGGGGTGCGACCGTGGACTCTTCAACCAAGGTTAAACACACATAAACACTGATAAATTGGAGGGAGGGGTATGTGATTCCCAAATGGCGAGAGAGAGAGAGTAAATCTGATGGAATGCCAGTCATGCAACACTGTGTATGATGAGTACAGTTGGACTCTGGTGACTCCTGTCATCTGACACACAGGGCTAAACAGACACACCCACACAAGCCAGGAACTATAAACACATGGCCAGCAATCACACTGACAGCAAGGAGTTCTATGAGGACAAAAGCTATTGAGACTTTGTGTTGGGCAGAAATGTGATTGTTTTAGTGTTTTTCATTCATTTGTTTTATTATGGACTAGATTTGTAAAAGTCCTTTTTTGCCTAAAAAGATTTCTGCAATTCAGGCCAAATGTCTCATATAGTCCGAAGTCCTCATTTGCAAATAGCTGTTCTTGTTTTATGCATACACTGAAATAAAAGTATGTAAAAATACAGATCATATGTACTGTGTCACAAATATGGAATTTTCCATATTGTTTTCTTACAGCTGTTTATCCGTTTTTCCATTTATTTCTTACAGTGTAAACATCACTGAATTGTGTTAAATTTATTCATTAAATTTTTTTTAAAAATTGCTTTTGGTGTAAGGAAAAAAACTATATCATGAAATTTTGCATCTGAAATAAATGTGATATTTTGTTATAGATATTTTTATTTTTAGAATTTATTAATTTAGCAATTTGAAATTTATAAGGTAAAGCAAGCCCACAATACTCCCCCCCCCCCCTTTTTCAGTGTTGTCCTTTTGTGCTTTTAATGATTCACACCAGTACCAGTAAATTCAAACACAAACAAGTGCACAATCACAGTGAATATGTATCTCTCTTTCCTCCTCTCCAGAAAGGGAACACAGCATTGCACATTGCTTGTCTAGCTGGGCAGAAAGAAGTTGCGAAGTTGTTGGTGAAAAGAGGAGCAGATGTAAACTCGCAATCACAGGTGGGAAAATCCTGTAAAATTATAATAATATTTATAATTTTTAATTTATATTTTTAAAATATATAATTTAATTTAATATGATTAAAATGTAATTCAATAAAATTTTATAATGTTAAGCTTTATGGTACCTGTTGTTACTACAGAATGGCTTCACTCCACTTTATATGGCTGCTCAAGAGAATCACCTGGATGTTGTGCAATATCTTCTGGAGAATGGTGGAAACCAGAGCATGGCCACAGAGGTTTGTGATTGCGAGGGTTGTGTGTGTGTGTGTGTGTGTGTGTGTGTGTGTATTTTCATTCATTGCAATATGCCCATACAAGTACCTGTGTCTAAAAAGAGGAGAATCTTTACACATTTCCATGCATGGACTGAGATTTTGATACCTTGCTTATTTTCTTTGTACATACATATGTGACCCTGGACTTGGGTATATTTGTAGCAATAGCCAAAAATACATTGTATGGGTCAAAATTATTAATTTTTCTTTTATGCCAAAAATCATCAGGATATTAATTAAAGATCATGTTCCATGAAGATATTTTGTAAATTTCCTACTGTAAATATATTAAAACTTAATTTTTGATTAGTAATGTGCATTGCTAAGAACTTCATTTGGACAGCTTTAAAGGCGATTTTCTCAGTATTTTGATTTTTTTGCACCCTCAGATTCCAGATTTTCAAATAGTTGTATCTTGGCCAAATAATTTGAAAAATCGACCCTTATGACTGGTTTTGTGGTCCAGGGTCACATATGTGATAGCATTGTTCAAACATGCAAGGTAAAGATTGCGTAAAATTGGATGGAAGTAAATTCTCAAATCCTGAATGATTTTAAATGACATTCATCCCTGCTAGAAGTACAGCCAATATAGCATCAGATGGTTTAAGGTTGTATATGGTCACTATGCAGGTCCAAGCTAGACTAGGTGGTGGATCATATGGACTTCCAACCATTGGACTTAGTTTTGATCTGCATATTGGTCAACCTGTTTATAGCCTTTGTTTTTGAACAAAGAGATGGTTTTGTTTGTTAATCTCTGCTTGTCTGTTGTCTATGTTTGTAGGATGGCTTCACTCCTCTGGCCATTGCTCTGCAGCAGAGTCATAATCAGGTGGTCTCTCTGCTGCTGGAACATGACACAAAAGGTAAAGTCCGCCTGCCTGCGCTCCACATCGCTGCCCGCAAGGATGACACCAAGTCTGCTGCTTTGCTGCTTCAGAACGACCATAATGCTGATGTCCAGTCTAAGGTGAGAAAATAAATAGTGAAAATGTAATGTTCATGCGATGGAACTATAATAATTCTGTGTTTTTTTTACGGGTATGTATAGATAATGCCATTGTTTTAAGGTTTTTTGGACATGGCGTCATGACAGCATTGTGTGTTGTTTGAACATTTGAGTGTACTATTGATGTTTTTTCATATAGTACCTGTACAGTATCATTGTACCATGGTGTTCTTTGAACACTGCTAAACATATTGTTATACTATGACTGTACCATGGTACCACAGTTCGTTTTGAAGGATTGTTTATGAGTTTTTGAAGGATTTTATTAATCCATTAATCTTAAAGGAATAGTTCACCGCAAAATGTGCTGAAAATTCCACCTTCAGGCCGTCCAAGATGCAGATTAGCTGAATTGAGGAGCTGATTTGGAGAAATGTACCATCATATCACATGAATCCTCTGCAGTGAATGGGTGCCGTCCAAAAAGCTGATAAAAAAATCACAATAATTCAGAAGTAATCCGCTGTATGTTTGTAATAAATTCATCATGCAGATGTTTTAAACTTCAAACTGTTGAGTCCTCTTTCCATAATATTACTTTCTCCAGTGAAAAAGTCATCTTGTCTGAATCAGGAGAGAAATATGCACCGATCAAACAGCGTTTACAACAGTGAAAACAGTCCAAAACAGTTCTAAACAAATATGCCGATTGATTTTGATGTGAGAGAACAACAGTGGATTGACTTTTTCACTGGAGGAAGTATTATTATGGATTATAGACTGGTATTTCGGTCAGAAGTGCCGGTTTAAAGTTTCTAGCTTGGACTCTCATTCTGACGGCACCCATTCCCTGAAGAAGATGCATGGTGAGCAAGTGATGTAAAGCAACATTTTTCAAAATCTTTTCTGATGAACAAATAAACTCATGGATGGCCTGAGGTCGAGTTAATTTCCCACAAATTTTCTGAAATTAAAATTGTGGGTGAGCTATTCCTTTAAATAAATATTTTCAATGAGGTTCACGCTAGCTGTCAGCTTGTTTCGGCTTTATTTAATCTTCAACGAATTATATTTTTGCTTTTGAAATTCCTCCTTTTAAGATACAAATTTTAAAATTGGTTCAAAATGTCATATTAATGAACATGCTATATTTTCCTCCTCATGTGCGACTCCTTCAGATGATGGTCAACAGGACTACAGAGGTATTAAGATTCTCAGCAGAATCCTGCACCTGCATTCGTCTCGGCTCTTATAAAGCCTAATGTGCTACTTAACACTGAATCTTTCTTTTACAGTGCATGGGAAGAGTAGAGTCTTGTCCTTTTAGATGTCATAGTGCATGACACATAGTTGTTTTTATTTTAGTAGCAGCACCCTATTTCCTCGAGAGGTTTTTGTGTGTTTCTAGCTCATCAACACATTTTATGCTCCTTAATTTCAATTAACGTTTTGAGCAGAAAATAGGGGTGCATTATGTTGTTTATACACCACTTATGATTTTACTAACAGACCAAACCGACGTTTAACTCCTAATTGTGCATGTGAACTCACACTGTGTAGAAGTCTCTCGGTCACATTTTGCTGCACCTTTTTGTTAATTCTGTTTTTTAAATTGCACCATGTCTGTCAGAATGGAAAGGTAAGATAAAATGGCTCCATCAAACGAATGAGTAAGACAGACAATGCCAATTTCCTATCTATACTTTCATCTTTAGCAAAATGTAGTGAGTAGTTGCTGAATAACATTTGTTTGTTCAGATATTTTGTTCATCATCTTTTTTTCCCTTTCATTGTCACTGAGAAACTTCTCATCTGTCTCATGAAGACTCATATGCTACTGGGAATGTGCTCATACTGTATATTATTACATGTACAAATCTAATCTTTCTGTTTCTTATTTCATCAGTTTTTTTTCTTTACCTTCACTCCAGTGCATGGTGTGGTTAGATCCATTGGTAGCAGATGAGAATCCACACATTTTTTTCCTTTTTACTTTTCCATTTTTTTCTATCTTTTAAGTTTTTGCACAAATGTGATGATTCATGGGAATGCTGCATGGTAGATCATGAACGATGGACGTTTTAAATCGGTTAGAAGACCAGCGCAGACATTTACCATTCTGTTTTCTTCTCTTCTTTGTCCTATCCCTTCTTTTATCCCAATACTACTCCATCTTCTAACAGAGTGGCTTCACTCCTCTGCATATTGCTGCTCACTATGGTAACGTTAATGTGGCCACCCTGCTGCTCAACAGAGGGGCTGCTGTAGACTTCACAGCCAGGGTATGATCCTATATTGCTTAAATCCTAAAAAAAAGCAACTTATAAATTGACAAAATTAAGTACTTTAAGGGATGGTACACTGAAAAAAATGTAGGGTAACGATTCACATCTATATTTTTAACTTGAGCCAATGAAAAATACCCATTTATACCCCCCACCTATTTACTTACGCCACTGCCATACCCTATGGTCCTGATGCCCCCTAGTGGGCTCTGACCCCTGGTTGAAAACCACTGCTCAAAATCAATGCTTTCTGTAACAGACTAATATTTAAGCTGCTATTCACTCAAATCACACATTTATCATTTTTAGGGTAGACTACAGGGATATTTTTGATGTGCATGCTTTCTTTTGTTAAGTTCTACACAATTAAAACTCTGTTGGAGTTAATTGAATAATCATGTGGTATGATGTATAAACTGTATCAGATTTCATATATATTAAAGGAATAGTTCAACTCAAAAATGAAAATTCTGTCATCATTTACACCCTCATATCGTTCCAAACCTGTATAGATTAATTTTTTTATGTTAAACACAAAAGAAGAGATTTTGGCCCAAAACAGTTGTTGACCCCCATTGACTTCCATAGTATTTTATTATTATTATTATTATTATTTTTTACCCACTATGGAAGTCAAAGGGGGCCAACAACTGTTTGTTTGGGGCCCAACAACAGCATTCCTCAAAATCTCATCTTTTGTGTTCAACACATATAGAAACTTTTCAACAGGTTTGAAAATGGATTGTGGGTGAGTAAATGACAGAATTTTCATTTTTGAGGTGAACTATTCCTTTTAGCAAATACTTGCAGTTCCTCTTTACTTTCCCTTGATTTTAGAAGACAGTGTGATGCTTTAATAGTTTATTAAGTTACTATTTTTTTCCAAGTATGAAAATATAATCTGTGCTAAAGGATGTACTGTTTTGTTTAGAATGGTATAACCCCTCTTCATGTGGCCTCCAAACGAGGAAATACAAACATGATTGCTCTGCTGTTAGACAGGGGGGCTCAGATTGACGCCAAGACCAGGGTGAGTATCAACAGTACCATCAAAATGCAGTAAAACAAGCGCCCTCTAGTGCCTACTGCTAACAGTTCAGAAGAACATTTCTTGTACTGTATGTACTCAATAATGATAATGCTAGCTTTTTGTGAATTCTGCTTTCATTTTGAAAAACTTAGGTAGCAGCGATAGTGTTTTACTACATGTTGTCATGTGCATTTGCACAACAGTAGTTTGCAATTATGCATAATTATGCATGATGTATGTACATATGTGTTTTTTTTTCATATATGCTGATTGTCTGTATTTATCTTCTCTCTGTTGAAAAGGATGGGCTGACACCACTGCACTGTGCAGCCAGAAGTGGACATGACACTGCAGTGGAAATCCTGCTTGAAAGAGGAGCTCCCATACTGGCACGGACCAAGGTACATGAAACTAAGTGGTTCCATGTTTGTTTATATTTTTTAATTAGTCTCCTATACTCACCAAGGCTGCATTTATTTGAAAATTTTAAATATAAAACTGCATTAAACAGTATTATTATTAAATATTATATTATTACTTTTTGATCTAAAGCTGATCTGTATTTTTCCTCTCTCTTTCTCTGTATTTCAACACACGCACACACAGAATGGCCTTTCCCCGCTGCACATGTCTGCTCAGGGTGATCACGTCGAATGCGTGAAACACCTGCTGCAACACAAGGCACCGGTTGATGATGTCACACTGGACTACCTGACCGCCCTTCATGTTGCTGCCCACTGTGGTCACTACAGAGTCACAAAATTACTACTGGATAAGAAAGCAAATCCTAATGCCAGAGCACTGGTAATTATTTGTCTTTGAAAAAAAGTGTGTCCCAGCGGGTTAATGAGCGTTACTGATGTATTTTTTGTATCTGTCAGAATGGCTTCACTCCTCTGCATATTGCCTGCAAAAAGAACAGAGTGAAAGTCATGGAACTGCTGGTTAAATATGGAGCCTCAATTCAAGCTGTCACTGAGGTAAGAGTCTTAGTAGTCTGTGACTTGTAATCTTGCATACTATTTCTGATAACAATATCTGATTTGGCATGTGACTTTTTAGAGTTTAGTTCAAGCCTAATAATTAAACTTCATAGAGTTGAATTATTCCTTTAGCTCATACAGGAAGGTTTAGAGTTCATATAAACAGAACATCCAGAACCTGAAATCGGATTGGATTCATTTAGACTGACGAAAATTGGTGCATGTACACGTAACTACTTTCTGTTCTCTTTCTTCCTAGTCCGGCCTGACCCCAATCCATGTTGCAGCATTTATGGGGCACCTCAATATTGTTCTCCTGCTGCTACAGAATGGAGCCTCACCTGATGTCTGTAATATTGTGAGTACACAGTCATCAAGATTGGACATTACCATATTTAAATATTTCTAATAGGGCTGCGTGATATTGAGAAAAAATTGTATTTTTTTTATTTTTGTCGAAAAACTGCTTACTGTGTTTTTGTGCTGGTACCTTGGTTGGTTTAGGCCTTTAGTGGAGCTGAATCCGAAATCTTTAAATATTCTTTGCATTGGTTAGATCACAGTAGTATAAGGTGTGTTATTTGACACCCTAAATTGATTTGAGAGCAAATCTTCTATGTCAAATTCTTAGGTTTAATCAATAAATTAAATTATTATAGTAAGACAATGTAGAGCTGTTACCAATCAAATTAAATAAATATCAACAAAATCCATTTTTTTGCACTGCATAGAATAGATGACATAAGCTACATTTGATATGGCATTTAGATGTATTTAAATCAGAGGTGATATGGATTACAATAGCATAAATAATACTACGAGATTTAAAAATGAAATTGTGAATATAAAAAATGATTTTTCAAAATATTTTAAATATGAGAAAAAAAACATGCATTCTTTCAGTAACGAAATGGAGCTGAATCCGAAATCTTTAAATATTCTTTGCATTGGTTAGATCACAGTAGTATAAGGTGTGTTATTTGACACCCTAAATTGATTTGAGAGCAAATCTTCTATGTCAAATTCTTAGGTTTAATCAATAAATTAAATTATTATAGTAAGACAATGTAGAGTTGTTACCAATCAAATTAAATCAATATCAACAAAATCAATTTTTTGCACTGCATAGAATAGATGACATAAGCTACATTTGATATGGCATTTAGATGTATTTAAATCAGAGGTGATATGGATTACAATAGCATAAATAATACTACGAGATTTAAAAATGAAATTGTGAATATAAAAAATGATTTTTCAAAATATTTTAAATATGAGAAAAAAAACATGCATTCATTCAGTAATGAAACACTGCTTTGTGCTGCTCAGAGACACAGATCGGTTCTTCTCTGGCTTTATTTTGTAACTATTTTCACTGGCATTCTAACTTATATAACTTATATATGTTGCTATGTTATATATGTTTCTAATGGCTTCGTCTTTTTGTATTGTGTTAGTTTAGTTGCAGATACAGATATTCATTCATGCGTGTAATTACCGTTGCAGACAAACAGTCGAATGTCCACACATTCCAATATAGCGGACGGATTACGTGTAGCAGCCCATAGAAACAGCAGCTATTAGATCTATATATACAGTATATCTGCCTATACATATCTAGACTATATAACCATTGCACACCCCTACTTTCAGTGCCTACTTTTTTAGCTCATGCTGGGAGTTTTGGATATCATTTGCTGTCTTTTCTACTCTCCTCTAAATAAACAAATTCAAAAAGGTCTAGCAATGCATTTCATGTACTGATTGTGTGTGTCCTCAGCGTGGCGAGACGGCATTGCACATGGCTGCAAGGGCAGGACAGATGGAGGTGGTGCGATGTTTGCTAAGGAACGGCGCTTTGGTGGATGCCATGGCCAGAGTCAGTTGATAAAAACACTTACTGAATAAAGTGAAAATACAGATTAATGACTACACATGAAGCTTTAAATATACTATATCTTTCTCTCTTGCCTCCAGGAGGACCAGACACCCCTTCACATTGCGTCACGTCTGGGTCAGACAGAGATTGTGCAGCTGTTACTGCAGCACATGGCTCATCCTGACGCTTCCACCACTAATGGATACACACCTCTGCACATCTCCGCTCGTGAAGGTCAGATGGAGACAGCTGCAGTGCTGCTGGAGGCTGGAGCATCTCACTCACTCACCACCAAGGTGGGACTGCAGGGAGATCTGTGAAAGAGATATGGGGTCCTCATTCAAATATATTATCAAATATTATGCATCTATTAATTTATACAGAGCCCCACACATGATATGCAGACAAAAACAGGGAAAGAATTAGTACAACATGCCCACAATTTACTAAAATGAGGGATACTATATATATATACATACATATACATGCATTTATTTGATCAAAAATATATTAAATACTGTACAATTTTAAAATATTATTACAATTTAAAATAACTATTTCAGTATTTTTTTAATGTGAATTTTTACTTTGATGACAAAGCTGAATTTTCAGCATCATTACTCAGTCTTCAGTATGCTGATTTGGTGCTCAAGAAATATTTTTTTATTATTATCAATGTTGAAAACAGTTGTGCTGTTCTTTTATTTTTGTTAAAGCTGTGATTTTTTTTTTCTAGAAAATGATGAATAGCTCAAAACAACAGCATTTATTTGAAATAAAACTCTTTTGAAAAATTGTATGTGTACTTTCTGAATAAAAGTATTCATTCAAGATAATAATAATAATAATGCAATTTATTTGTAATGCGTTTTTCCTAAACCCAAAGCGCTACAGTAAAACAACAACACACACACACAAAAAAAACAATACAAAAATACTAGAATTAATTAAATACAAGCTTAAATAAATGCGCCTTAATCACCTTTTTAAAGTGATCCAGAGTTGGTGCATTTCTGATATTAAAAGGAAGAATGTCAATGCAAAAACTAAGGTAAGAGTTTCATATATTTATTAATGTATATTCTTTCATTATGTGACTTGTTAACCCAATTAATTATTACTTAAAAAAACTATTAATTTAATCATTTTGTAAGTATGAGCTGTGTGACCATGCATTTTGAGTTTGTGACTGAGAAATATTGCTGATGTCTATGACAGATTGTAATTTTGTGCAATTATTATGATTTGTAATATTCTATCAGAATTGCATTATTTTAAATGCTTCATTTTTTTTGCATTGCATTCAGATTGTTATTATGTTATTTCTGAGCTGTTTACTGTACTGATGGAGTTTTTTTATTTCAGAATGGCTACACACCACTTCACCAAGCTGCTCAGCAGGGAAATACGCACATTATCAATGTCCTGCTGCAGCATGGAGCCAAGCCTAATGCAGTCACTATGGTGAGCAACACACTCATACTCACAGAAATTATATTAATTCTGTATCTTATTTCTCTAACCTCACACTATTTCTCTCTCAGAATGGGAACACAGCACTCTCTATTGCTAAGCGTCTGGGGTACATCTCAGTGGTGGACACTCTGAAAGTTGTTACTGAGGAAATAATCACAACGACAACCGTATGTATCCATGCCTTTAAATATTAAGAATATCTGATGCATTCATAAACCATACAAGAATGTTGAATCCCTTTTTCATTTCAACTTTTGTAGACGGTGACAGAGAAACACAAGCTGAACGTTCCAGAGACAATGACAGAAGTTCTAGATGTGTCTGATGAGGAGGGTAAGATACTGATTTATAACTGACTTTTATTATACATAATCAGGATTTCATATATCTGTTTAAAAGCTGCTGTGCCTCTGTAGCCCAACATCAGATGGAGGAGGAGCTTTTTACTGAAGTCTCTATGGAGATCGAAGGTATACAGGGTATAGATATAGAGTGAACTGAACTGACCTATTGAATTACTAACGTTACACTTACTGCATTACCAAACATCTGTTCAGTTCCTTCTGTATCTATTCCAACGTGTGGTTTGCAATTTGTGTGCTAACTGGAACGGGCATGAATATTATGTGTAGAAAACTAAACTATGAAAAACTAACTTTGTTCTCAGTTATTTGTGCTAATCTGGGGATAATTTTTCAAATCATAAAAATGAGAATACTTGATATCTGTGAGTCACTGAGTATTTTAGTTTTAGTAGTACCTACACAATGGGTGAACAGTGCTTGTTATGGTTAATATGTTGTTGGTTAATATAATTTATTTTTTTATTAATTTTAGTTTTTTATTGGTTTATTTTGAAGTCTTTACTGTCACGTTGTCTAAAACCCAAATGTTAAGAATTAATGCTATTTGGTCTGAATTTTAAAAAGGATTTACATTTATATTGGGTCAGAAAATGAGAGGTTATATAATACATTGTCCAAAGAAAAAGAATTGAATGGCAAGTCGTGATTTGGGTTGTTTATTAAACTACAGCCAGGGCCGGATTTACACATAAGCATTCGTGCCTATGCTCGCTCGTCCAGGGGGGCCCAAACACAATGAGAAGATATATAATATTTTTTGTTATACTATGGTCTATCTACAACATTGAGAGAATCAAAACACCAGAGGACATTGAGCAAATAAATATAACAAACAATAGGGTAAAAAATGACAAACTATTTCCATGTTTTCCACCTTTTTATGTATGGAAATCACATGCATAAATTCTTTCTCCCGTTCTCTCTCACAGACGCACACATGGTGCAGACACGCACTCGCGCACACACGCGGAGACGTGAACAGATTGTCATCAGCGCGGCCCTGCGAATTTATCAGTAAAATAGTTTTGCTGCTCAAAAGCTACATGACATTTCTCAGTAGGGAGGTTCTTGAAGCAGTTCAACTTAAAGATTCGCTATTAGTAGACGCTGCTGCTGAACACTGCTGAGAGACACACAGACGCGCTTATTCACACACACATAATTTTTTTTCTTTCTCTCTAATAACTGCATTAGCCTGCATATCAATGGCCCAAGCCTCTGTTATTAGCTCTAAAATGACGTTTTGGAATTTGCAACGGAAGGTTTATCTTGAAATCAATCATCTGAACAATATCTTGAGGTGTGGTTGTGACACCAGGCTGTTAAAATTATTAGAGAAATAATGCACTCCCGAAGTGGTAATGTGGCCACGACGCTGGAGCCTATTAATGGAACGGCCTTTCTCCATTCTCAAACAAATAAAGACATTACATTTTTATTGTCTGAATGCAAGCGCTTATTGCGATAGAAAACACTGTAACGGTTTCCACTGATTACGAAATATTTTTGTTTGCTGGGGCCTATTAATAAGGAAGGGGGACCCAAAAAATTGTTTTGCCGATGTCACGATATGAGGTAAATCAGGCCCTGACTACAGCCTATTCGATATATCACTTAACCAATAAGGGCCAGATTTACTGAAAAGGACAAATTAGTTTGAGACCACAATCCCATAAAAGCATCAAAGGGAGTGGAAAGTACACAGGCGCAAAATGGGTTGAGACATGCTTTTTTGGGTGTTAAATAATGGTGTAAATACCAGTAATCTTACTACCATAAAACCAACTTGATCTCACAGCAATTCTTATATTTTTTACGAGGTGTGAATTTGTACAAATGACCACCCATAACCCTGCCCCTAAACCTACCCCTCACAGAAAACAAAATCGTACAAATGAGGTCGTACGAGTGAGGTTGTAAGAATTCGTACTAATTAGCCACCTTGTAATATACTTGTGAATTGGTTGTGAGATAGCATTGTTAAAACTTAGTAAATCGTGTTGCTTGATTCACTAAAGTACTCTCTTCCCATACATTTTGCATCTGAAAGAGTAACTCTTACAAATGCACATGCAAAAATATCTTTTCATCACTAATTTTTTGCTGTGTCTCTTTAGTAAATCCTGACAGCAGTTTTTAAACACCAAAGAGGGTTTGAGCTGGTGCAAGCTGTTAGTGAATCTGGCCCCAAGTCAGTAATTTGATCAACGAGTAGTTCATTGACAGTGTCAATCAATTAGTCAATGTGTGTATGAGCAGGTGAGGACACAATGACAGGTGATGGAGGGGAATACCTGAGAGCAGAGGACCTGAGAGAGCTTGGTGATGACTCTCTACCTGGGCACTACCTGGACAACATGAGCTACACCCATAACTTAGACCGGTAAAAAAATAAACCAATGCACATATACAAACAGACAAACCAATATTTAAATTTCCATTGACAAGTTCATTCCTGCTAAACAGATTATTACTGTTAGCCCTGCCTCAAAGCTCACATCATTGTTTGAGCCAGAACCCTCCAAGCTCACATCATTGTTTGAGCCTTTTTGTTGCCATTGTTTTGGGAATTTAACTCTCACAAGTATAAGAAGTACCCACACATAATGCTGTTTTACTCACCTGTTTACATTGTCCTACCTCAGGTCCCATGAGACCCCCAGTCATCTTGCTTACAGGGGTGAAGGAATGCTGATTGAGGATATGATCACAAGCCACCAGCGTAATAAGGTGAACCATCATACCTCATTTGTACACCTAACATTTGGCTCAGTGTTGTTAGCCATGGTTTATAATGCTAATTGATAAAATCTAATTGTTAGCATTGTTAAAATCTTCTTAGCTGTTCTAAATTAACTGTAAACCATGGATTCACAGGGCTTATTGCGTTTATACAACAGTTATACCATAAAAATATTTTTAGCCCACCCATTAAGTCAAAATTCACAACAAAATCGGACGTTTTGGAACAATTTTGAACACGAGTCACGATGATATATTATAGTCTGATTATGTTGTTTGTTAGGTTTCTGCATTCTCTCGAGAACATGAGTCATATCGATTGAGCTGGGGTGCTGAACATCTGGATAATGTGGTGCTAACTAGCACTCTTCTGCAGTCAGGGTTAGTAGGTTTCACACACACTAAAACGGACATGAACACGCACACACATTTGCCTCCCCCCGTTGTACATGCTAGTACATACTAAGATATGTATGTTTAGTCAAAGCTGGCATTGCATCAGATGCCACTATTGTGGATCATGAATGATAGCTGCTCAATTTCCTCTCATTGTTCTGTCTTTCTTTCTTTCTTTCTTTCTTTCTTTCTTGCTGACTTTCTTTCTTTCTCGTTTATTACACTCACGTCATCTGCCTAAATCACTCTGCCTCTCTCTCTGCTGTTCGTGATTGTGTCTTTTGTTCTGCTTTTAGCCGATCCACCCCATGCCTTGACAATGACAACAGCAGGTGATCCTCCACTTCTCTTCCATGTGCCCTTTTTGCTTCCTCACTTCATCTCCTTTTATTTCATTATTGCATGTATACATAACAACTGTCTGCTTTGAGCTTTTTAAATTAACCTTTTTGTGCCTATTAAAATTTTAATCAGCATGCTTTGATGAACACAGTGAGTCATGTCTCCGTATTCATAGATATCCCCATGAAAAATATTAAGTATTCTTCAGTATCTTTCACATGGGTGTTATGAAACTGGAGACACTGTGTTTCTCAACAACTACGGTATCCTCCCACTGCATATTGAGCATGTTCAACGGTTATCATTCTTTATTATCTAAATTCTCCAGTGACTTGACTGTAGATTATTTTGTAGACATTCTCCATAAACTTCATGAACAATACATAACATAAAGCAACACTTAAAATAACATTATGCCAATCAAAAGTTTGAGGTCAGTAAGATTTTTTTTTAAAGAAAGAAATTAATACCTTTCATTAGCAAGAATGCATTAAATTGATCAAAAGTCATTGTTACATTGCAAAATTACTATTCATTCAATCCTACAAAAAATGTATAATGGTTTCCACAAAAATACCGAGCACCACAACTCTCTTCAACATTGATGATAATAAGAAATGTTTCTTCAGCACCAAATCGTGAAATAGTTATTTAAATTGTAATACTATTTTACAATATTACCATTTTTACTGTATTTTTTAAAATATTTCAAACTAAATCGTACCGACCACAAACTTTGGAACGGTAGTGTTCATCAGTGTACAACACATAGTGGCAACACAATCTGATAATAAAAACAATGCTCAGGGTTTAACAGAAATTAATCCTTTTGATCACCGAAGAAAACTATTGGAACCCAAAATGTTTCTGGTATGTGTGTAATTTCAAATGGCACCAAAGAGAATTGCAAAATTAATAACTGTTTACAAACATAGAGAAGCCCACAGAGCCTATAATGTAAGTTTAGAAAAATAGACAGAAAAATAATATTGCATGGCCTAGGTGGCTTCTGTAAGTTTATAAACGAGAATGTAATGCATTTATGGCAGTATTTCATTTCTGTGTAGTTTTAATGAAGATGTTAAACATTGTGTTGTGTGTTTCACTGTCACTTGCTGTTCTATAAAAACAGCTTCCTGGTCAGTTTCATGGTGGATGCCCGTGGTGGAGCCATGCGTGGCTGTCGTCACAATGGACTACGCATTATTGTGCCACCTAGAAAGTGCTCAGCACCTACACGGGTCACATGTCGTCTGGTGAAGAGGCACAGGCTGGCCTCTATGCCCCCTATGGTGGAGGGAGAGGGGCTCGCAGGCAAGCTCATTGAAGTTGGACCCACTGGAGCCCAGTTTCTTGGGTAAGGGGGTGTCTAAGGGGATCTAAAATTGAAAATGTATGCTGTATCACCATGAACATTTTTGTCTATCTTTGTTTGTGTATGATGCAGTTATATGTTCTCTATTTTGTCTCGTCTTGACTGACAAAGTAGCGCAATATGTCAACATGTTTGACGTGTCCTAACCAGGAGCGATGTTACAAGTTTCCAGCGACAATCAATTTGTTTGTCTATGCTGAAACAGCTGTCCATGTAATCTCATGTAATGTAATCTCAGCCAGTAAAATGATGTTTGATGTTTATTTTGTGAATTTTGGACCAATGAGATTCAGTGGATAGATTTTAGTTTTAAGTTTTAGTATTTTTCCATTTATTAATTAAAGAAACAATTTTAGGTAGATTTAACCAAGCGATGGACAAAATGTCGCAGCTGTTAGGACAAAAACTCATGGATGAGCTTTTAGTGTTTGTCTCACCTGGTTAGGACATTTGCCATCTCTAGTTTGGAGGAGTGACAATGATGTTCCTCTCTCTCTAAATCTGAGTTCAGTAAATCAGATTCACAGTGTGCCTTTTTTTTTACATCTTTTTTAATGGCTGCGATCGGAACAGTAAACTCCACCTCCCAACAGCCCCTCCTCCTCTTAATGAGGGTGAAAGTCTTGTCAGCAGAATTCTGCAGCTGGGTCCACCCGGCACCAAATTCCTCGGGTAGGAGAGATCCTAATGCCAAATATCCACTGGATACCGGTCACATATCCCTCCTAATTCTTTTAAATACACCTCCATCTGTATTTTATAATTTTTTGAGTTTGTTTTTATCATTCCGAAATAGAGGTGTTCCATTAATTTACCTTTACTTCCTTTGTTGACTTTTAAATATTGTTTGAGTTTAAATGTGTTATTTTCTTGTATTGGTCATTGCTCTGTGTGTGCTGTATATGGCATTACCCATGGTTTTGTTCCTACATTGCTGCATGTTACATTTACCTGTGTTTATGTCTTCCACAGATGCGATATCTGTTTCTCAACAACCCTCACTTTGACAAGTCCAAAGCCGTACATTTGGCTGAAATAACACCGTTATTTTTCAGGCCTGTGATAGTGGAGATCCCCCACTTTGCTGCATTGCGTGGGACAGAGAGGGAGTTGGTGATTCTGCGCAGTGAGACAGGAGAGAGCTGGAGAGAACATCACTGTGAGCATACAGAAGAGGAGCTGAATCAGATACTCAATGGCATGGATGAGGGTGAGTGAGACACTTGTTTGATGTAACACACCTTAAATTGGCAAGTGGTATACTAATAGAACTGTAATCTGGTTTATAATGCTGTGAGCTGACACCATATACTCTACCATTCAAAAGTTTGGGGTCAGTAATGTTTTTTTTAATAGTTTTGAAAGAAGTCTCTTATGCTCACCAAGGGTTAAACAGCAATATTATGAAATGTCATTACAATTTAAAATAGCTTCTATTTTAATATATTTTAAAATGTAATTTATTCCTGAGATGCCAAAGCTGAATTTTCAGCAGCCTTTAATCCTTCAGAAACTAATCATATATACTGATTTGGTGTTTAAGATCAATGTTTAAATCAGTTGTACTGCTTGCTGTTTTTGTGGTAACCATGATACGTTGTTTGATGAACATAAATTTATATATATATATTAAATATTTGTAACATTATACATCTTTACATTCACGTTTAATCAATTTAAATGCATCCTTGCTAAATAAAAGTCTAAATTTGTTAAAAAAAAAAAAAAACATTTCACTGACCTCTAACTTTTGAATGGTGGTATAGATTTGGGATCCTGTGTGACAGTTCTTTTCAAACATTTTAGAACAGGTCTGTGCTTAGTGGAAAAGTTTAGTTTGGTAAAGAAGGAGAGCATCTTTAAAATGAAATAAAATGAAGACTTTGGTCATTTGGAACAACTGGATTTGTCATTTTCACACTAGAACTGGACACTCCCGAGGAGCTGGAGAAAAGGCGAATCTGCCGCATCATCACACGGGATTTCCCACAATACTTTGCAGTGGTGTCCCGCATTAAGCAGGACAGTCATCTGATCGGTCCAGAGGGTGGGGTGTTAAGCAGCATACTTGTTCCACAGGTCCAGGCTGTGTTCCCAGAGGGAGCATTGACTAAACGGATACGCGTTGGGCTACAGGTAATCCACTATGCAAAGCAATCTTCATCATTGACCTTTTAATTTTTAAAGAAGGCATTTCGGTTACTCTTTATTTTAAGGTGTCCTTGTTACAGTGTAATTATACATTTAAGTACTGTACAATTAAGTAATATTAATTAACATCATGTACTTACTACAGGGTTAGGTTTAGGGTTTGTTTTAGGGTTATGCATGTAATTATGCATAATTTTGTGCTCATTCTATAGTAAGTACGTGTAACGTGTAACAAAGACACCTTAAAATAAGGCGTTATCGGCATTTCTAATTTTCCTTTTGATTTGTGTTAGATAGTTTTCTCACAAACAATGTTGGGGGCAACACTGTACCATTTTTATGATTATTTGCCACTCTAGATCAATAGTACAAACATTTTTTAGTAACTTCTTTGTGTCATTAAAGCTAACTCAATTGAGATTGAGCTATATTATATATCAATGCAGCAGCAATTTTTATTTTTTTATGTAATGGTAAAAAAATTTATTGGTAAACTGAAAAAGTTATATTAATGCATTGTTATTTTGTCTTTAAGTCTTATTTTAGGGTTTGTTTTAAAAGTGTGACTCTATGGAAAAAGTTCTTTCTTTGTTTTTTGTTTTTTAATACTTTGCAGTGGTGTCCCGCATTAAGCAGGACAGTCATCTGATCGGTCCAGAGGGTGGGGTGTTAAGCAGCATACTTGTTCCACAGGTCCAGGCTGTGTTCCCAGAGGGAGCATTGACTAAACGGATACGCGTTGGGCTACAGGTAATCCACTATGCAAAGCAATCTTCATCATTGACCTTTTAATTTTTAAAGAAGGCATTTCGGTTACTCTTTATTTTAAGGTGTCCTTGTTACAGTGTAATTATACATTTAAGTACTGTACAATTAAGTAATATTAATTAACATCATGTACTTACTACAGGGTTAGGTTTAGGGTTTGTTTTAGGGTTATGCATGTAATTATGCATAATTTTGTGCTCATTCTATAGTAAGTACGTGTAACGTGTAACAAAGACACCTTAAAATAAGGCGTTATCGGCATTTCTAATTTTCCTTTTGATTTGTGTTAGATAGTTTTCTCACAAACGATGTTGGAGGCAACACTGTACCATTTTTATGATTATTTGCCACTCTAGATCAATAGTACAAAATTTTTTAGTAACTTCTTTGTGTCATTAAAGCTAACTCAATTGAGATTGAGCTATATTATATATCAATGCAGCAGCAATTTTTATTTTTTTATGTAATGGTAAAAAAATTTATTGGTAAACTGAAAAAGTTATATTAATGCATTGTTATTTTGTCTTTAAGTCTTATTTTAGGGTTTGTTTTAAAAGTGTGACTCTATGGAAAAAGTTCTTTCTTTGTTTTTTGTTTTTTAGCTATGCCCTTCTGTAAAATATTTAATTAGCAGTATATTACTCTTAAATTGGTTAGAGGGAGGGGATGAAATAAAAAAATAAAAAGTCCATCCTGCCACTTACATCTCAATCTCATCCTTTATTAGGCCCAGCCAATCAGTGAGGATCTGGTGAGGAAGATCTTGGGTAATAAGGCTACATTCAGCCCAATTGTTACTTTGGAGCCCAGAAGACGCAAGTTTCACAAGCCCATCACCATGACTATTACTGTCCCTAAAAGCCCAACCAGTGACGGGACAAGCAGTACCCCCACTCTACGACTATTATGTAGCATTACTGGTATGTGAGAATAAAGAGTAAAACATATCTTTTGTAAGTAAGTGCCTTTATAAGAAGGTGTAAATAGTTCTAATAATTTTCCTTTTCTAGGTGGGACGACTCCAGCACAATGGGAGGACATAACTGGATCCACACCGCTAACATTCATCAACCAGTGTGTTTCATTTACCACTAATGTGTCAGCAAGGTGAGTTCAGACGCAGTGACAAATGTTTGTTGACTGCTTTCCCTTGACAAATCGTTAAAATACTTGTTTTTCCTCCCAGGTTCTGGCTTATAGATTGCCGTCAGATCCAGGAGGCTGTGAACTTCTCCAGTCAGCTGTATCGCGAGATCATCTGTGTTCCCTATATGGCCAAGTTTGTCATCTTTGCCAAGACATTGGACCCTATAGAAGCACGACTCCGCTGCTTCTGTATGACGGATGATAAGATGGATAAAACTCTGGAGCAGCAGGAGAACTTCACTGAAGTGGCTCGTAGTCGAGATGTCGAGGTAAGTGTGGTTCAGCTAGTCTTGCTAGTGCATTTGAGATGAACTTTTCTACATGATGGTATGTTTATCTCTACAGGTTCTAGAGGGAAAGCCAATCTTTGCAGACTGCTTTGGAAATTTGGTCCCACTGACCAAAAGTGGACAGCACCATGTGTTCAGCTTCTATGCCTTTAAGGAAAACCGTCTTTCTCTCTTTATCAAAGTAAGTTATAATTTGTAGCACTATTTATAGTAGATAACTATGTAGATATTATATTGAAGTTTGCACAAAAAAGGTTACAGATTTAAACGTGTTACAGTACGCCACAATGTTTCCTACTAGTTTAACTATGATGCCACAGTATTGTGTAATTGTCAGTTGGTGGTGAGCAAAGTTACAGATTGGTTGTTTTTAACAGATTCGTGACAGCACTCAAGAACCATGTGGCAGATTGTCTTTTACAAAAGAACCAAGAACGTATCGCAGTCTAAACCACAATGCAATATGCAATCTGAACATCTGCCTACCTGTTTACTCAAAGGTAAGATAAACACTTTCATAATGATATTACCTCACGACCACATATACTGTATGTAATATGCATACATAGACACAACAAAAAGCCAATACCTTTTAATCAAAATATATTTAGTTTAGCTAAATTTAATCTGACAGTTGATTTTTTTTGCTCTTACTTTTTAAGGAATCTGATTCTGACCAAGATGCAGATGATGAGGTAAATACCTATATTACACCTTAAAAATAAATAAATGATTTTGTAAATGTTGTCTTTGCAAAAGAGATCATGGATTTTTCTGTAATTTCCATTCGATTAACTCTCTGTTTCAATGTAATTTCTTTATAGAGTGAGAAGACACATGAGCAATGTAAGCAATTTTTAAGTTTAAAAATATATATACAGTATAGACAGCTTTTGCTCTCATTCTTTTTAACCCCCATAACTCCTGTAACTGTAGGTTACCAATGTATTAGTACATTGTTAACATATTTAGCATATTTACTGTATAAGTGATTTTAAGAGAAATTGTATTTGTGGATCCCTGATTGCTATGCTATGGCTGATAAACATCCCTTCTTCCATTTTTATTTTTATGGTCTGCTGTTCTCATGAAACATTACATCCAATTCTATTCTCTCACAATGGTATCTTGCTTCTGGCATGATGGTTTCTAAAATGTTTAGTGTGTTACATGCCAAAAGAGATACTGGAAAACAAACCATTCTCCCTAAAATCAAAATCATACTGACCAGGCACATATTATTTTGCCTGTAATGAAATCACTTAATTTGCTTGCCACAAATGTCACCTTTGCATGGATCATTTCCTTTGCATGGAAATAACTTGACTTACACATATTATATTATTGCACATGTATGTGTGTGAGTGTGTCTGCTTGAATGTGAGGATATCTTTTTTGAAATATGCATAATTTGTGACTTTTTTTATCCTTATCACTCACATTCTTTGTTTCCTTTGTTCACTTGTGTTTATTGGTTTCCTACATTTTTCTTATCATTTACCTCAGACTTATAACAAATTCCCATATGTTAAACAACTCCATGTTTGACTGAAAGATCTGCATAACTAAAAAGCCATAGCATTTAATAATTTGAAAGTGTTTTATGTGAAAAGCCTCTGATTGTATCTCAGTGTTGCATAAGGGCATTGTTTTGAAATGCTAACTATGTTTGTGTTGACATGAGTTCTTCATGTCGAGAACAATCTTGAGATGCCTCATTGGTACAGATCAACTCTGTGTTATGATTACTTTCCTCATTTGTTCTTTGTGCACAGGTTTCTGTATTACTTATCCTTTGTTTTTTCTTTATACTTTCCCTCTTGTGTTAAGTGTATGAGTGGATACTTGAATCAATATAACATGTTTAAGCAAGTTATTTCCTACCCATTTCCTGCCCTCACTTTGTAATTCTCTTTGCTTTGCTTAACTGCTCCCATGCCTTCCCAAATCCTTCGGATCCAAATCTAGATAAATCTAGCAATGTTCTTCATTCTGTCAAGTAGTTTCCTCAACATCTGAACTGAAGACAGTTTGTATTGCTCCGGCCCTGACTAGTTTTCCAATGTCTTTTGTCCTCTTAATTTCCCCCTTTGTTCTTTACAAACTATTTGTGCTGTTCAAATGGAAGATTATGATGGATCTGAGTCAACAGAGCTTTCCATGCTGCAAATCATACATGATCCTGCCACACTCGCAAGTCCAGATCTACTTTCAGAGGTTTCTGAAATGAAGCAGGACCTGATTAAAGTGTCAGTCCTTCATACCTCTGAAAAGTCAGAAAAATCGTGCTCCTCTGATGCCGGAGAGCGATCAGACAAGGCTGGGGATGAGGAAGTGGATGAGCCATTTGAAATTGTTGAAAAAGTGAAAGAGGACTTAGAGAAGGTAGAAGAGATTCTTCGTGACAGAACAATGGATGATACAAAAGGGGGAGTTGCTATTGGGAGATCTGTAACCATTGATGATGAGGAGTGGGTCCTTCTCAGAGTGACAGATGTTGCGGAATCCAAAAGCAAAAATATCACTGAAGTCCAAGAGGCACTCGTTCAGGAAGTTCGAATCACAAGAGACATTATATCCAATTCTCCTCCTCAGAGGGATATTTCAGGTATGATTTCATATCTCAGCAGTGACTTAGAACAGTGTCTGCAGGAAACGCCTGTACCATTTAATGATTCGCAAGATGAGGATAGTGTTCAAGAAAGTTTTAAAGAGGTTGTTGTGACACGTAGTAAACACCGTCCAGCAGGAATCAAAAAGCCAGCAAGGAAAAGGCGTAAAGAGAGGGAGTTTGCAAGCGGCAGTTCAGAGGATGACTTGGAAAGTATGAGTAGGAGTCAGTCTGAGGAGTCTCTTGAAGAAGATGCAGTTATCGGTGGATCTGAACCTGTCTTTGGACATGTTCCTGTGTCTCCTAGAGTTGTAGAAACTCCGATTGGATCCATTAAGGACAAGGTTAATGCACTGCAGAAGAAGGTTGAAGAAGAGAATGAGGGGGACAGTCAAAAGTGGAAATCACAAAAAGTCAGTACTTCCCAGAGTAAGCCATATGTCACAGAGACAGAAAAACCAGCCAAGCTTCCTCCAAAATCCCTCAGATCCCCAAAGTCACAGACGGAACAGCTAGAGGAAACTAGGTCTGTAAGAGAGCTGATGAAGGCTTTTCAGACTGGCCAGGATCCATCAAAAAGCAAGTCTGGACTTTTTGAACATAAAGCAATGACTGTAACCTCTGAAGCAGCACGTTCTGATGTGATACAAGTTCCCCCAACATATGATAGCCAAATGACACTACCAACTCAACGTTTACAAGAAAGAACAATTACAACTGTAACCTCTGAAATGCCAAGTCCTAATGTGGTGCAGATTCCCCCAACATATGGTAGTCAAACAACAGCAACAACTCAACATTTACAAGAAAGAACAATTACAACTGTAACCTCTGAAATGCCAAGTCCTAATGTGGTGCAGATTCCCCCAACATATGGTAGTCAAACAACAGCAACAACTCAACATTTACAAGAAAGAACAATTACAACTGTAACCTCTGAAATGCCAAGTCCTAATGTGGTGCAGATTCCCCCAACATATGGTAGTCAAACAACAGCAACAACTCAACATTTACAAGAAAGAACAATTACAACTGTAACCTCTGAAATGCCAAGTCCTAATGTGGTGCAGATTCCCACAACATATGATAGCCAAATGACAGCAACAACTCAATATTTACAAGAAAGAGCAATTACAACTATTCCCTCTGAAGCAAGTTCTGATGTGATGCAGGTTCCTCCAACATATGATAACCAAATTCCAGAATCAACCCAGCATTTACAAGAAAAAATTGTAGTAGAAAACAAGATACTTCAAGAATCATCACATATTGACCAAAACACAATTCAGCATAAACCAGTGATCGATGATGGTGAAGCAGTTCATGAAAAACCACTAACAATCATCCAAATCGAAGGTGATCATGCTGTAACTTCCAACATTATCTTTAACTTTGAAGAGAAAAGCTCTCCAGAAGACCTGCTCGGTAAACATACAGCAAATGACCAAAATGGAAAACCATTACAGGAACCAGAAACTGAGGAACAACAAATATGTTCTGAACTATTAAGTAACGAAGACCCGCGGTTGATACGTGAGAGAATGTATTATGAAAATAACATCTACCAGAACAGGAGATTGTCTGTGGAACCTCAGATCAGCCCAGACAGGAAACCATCAGAGGATTTCAGTGCAGATATTAAGGCAGAACTTGAGGAAAATCCTGAATATCTGCTCTTTAGGCGAACTTCAGGTGAAGCAAGTAAATATGATTTAATGTGTAGTGATGGCCTTTCTTTGGAAGACGAGGAGCAGATACACCAGGCAGCAGTGGATCCAAGTAAATCAAACATAATCACCGCATTTGCTACTGCAATGGTGCAAGGTGAACCCTTACTTCAAAGTGAAATACATGATGGAGCATTGGAAGAAAGTCTTGATAGTGACAAACACGAGGCCTTAGCTGACTCTCCTGGCAATAGTATAGGGACAAGGACTCCTCACTCCAGCACAGGTGACAGTGAGAAACATTTGGGACTTGCTGAAACCCCTCAAAATAGTCCAGAAGTCGTTTTTTCTTCCAGTACAACTAGTACAGAAACAGAAGACAGATATCCAGGGGATCAGGAGACAATTCACCAATCAAGATCGACATCACATGAAAGAGCGGAGAGTGACAAGAGTGAATTATGTTCAGTAACCTCCATAAAAAGCAAGACTGAATCACCTTATGATTCTAAGATTGAATCATCTTCTCCATCCACCAATATTGAGTCACCGTCTTCTGCTAATTCAAAGACAATAGTTCAAAATATAATTCAAGTTATGAAATTAGAGAGTGAAATATCAGCACATAATATGAAAAGTGATTATACCTGTAAAGATAGCATGAAGCTGATCAAATTGGATGTAATTAGTGAGTCTGAGAAGATACCACAATATAGCCATCACAGTCAAGATGCACCAGAGAGACCTTCTAGTTTGGATTCTCTGCAGCCTGCAACCATGAGTGATACTAAAACTCTCTGTAGAATAGACTCGCTTGAGACTACTCCCATCAGAGAAGATGGATCATCCCAAAAATCCCCAGACTCTATTGAGCCAAGCCCAACCAAGGAGTCCCCATGTCAAGACTCTTTAGAGGGAAGTCCCACTGGTCAAGAAGCTGGTCAGCTGAGTTACACTGAAAGGGTCTTCTCAACAAGTCAGGCTTTCATTTCTGACTCTGGGGGAAAAGAATTAATTTCTAAACAAAACATTTACTTAGAAAGTGAGTCATCCCAAGGTACCCATGATACCTTAGATATGCAGTACATTTCCATGACCCTGGAGCAAAAAGAAAAGGTGATTGACAGTGGGGATCTTTATGACTTTGATGCTTTACAAAGGCAATTCACTCCAGAAGAAGAGATGTTTAAGATGGCTGCAAAGATCAAAACATTTGATGAAATGGAAAAGGATGCAAAAGTTAAAAAGGTAAAATTTGATTTTGATTGTGGTTCTAAACAACCAAAAGAGGAAGAAGTGCTGTCACAACATAAAAGTTCACTAGAATTTAACACAATGTTAACCATAACATCAGAAGAGCAGTACTCGGAGAACCCTGCTGAATCTTGTCCAGTATTTCCCTTACATTCCTCATTGTCAGATGATGATTATGACAGTCCTGAGTTGGATGAATCAACTCACAAGTTCTCAGGAGAAACCACTGAGGTTTTAGAGACCACAGACAAAATGGAGGAGGTGCATGCTCATTTAAAGATTGTTGATTTACAGACATGCATAGACATTCCATCTATGCAAACACATGTAGAGAACGAGGAGGAAGACTATGAACAGTTACCTTCAGAGTACCATAGTATAGTGATTGGTGAGACTACAACTAAGGAGGATTTCATTATTACATCAGCAGAGAGCAAAATGGGCATTGAGAAGGATGGTGATGTTGAATCTACTGGTGAGAGCACAACTTCTGAAAAAGTGCTTTCTCCCATCGACAATGTAGGTGCCACCACTGTTACAAAGGTAGTGCAGGATGAATCCCAGCCAGATGTATGTATTTATCAAAAGGACAATGAAGAGAAGCCAGAAGAAATCCCACTGTCTATTCCAAGAGACTTGGTTCCCTGGAGTGCTGAAGTGGAAGACGATGAGGCATTCGATGCAAAAATTGAGGCTGAGGAGCAGAAAATACTTGCTTTGTGTATAGACAGACGTTCTCATGGAACCCCACCTGACACAACTCCAGGACGAACCCCTACTGAAGAGGGGACACCAAATCCTTTCCTCTTCCAAGAGGGAAAGCTATTTGAGATGACCAGAGGTGGCGCTATTGACATGACCAAAAGGACCATGGAGGAAGAAGAAGAAAGGTTAGTCTTTTTTCCGATAAATGAAGATCCAAGTGAAGAATTTGAGCAAGTCAATTTCAGTGCTAGTGAGTCTGTTGCAATAGCTTCATTTGAGATGCCTACAGATGGTTTAGTTCATCAAGACAGACTTACTGAGGAACCTGATGGCTTTAGTAAAACTGGAACCAAACGTGTTCAACCAGAACATCCAGAACAGAATGATTTTCCTATCCAAAGTGAACCAAAGAGTCCCACGGGGGATAATGGAATCTGTGAAGACACATTAATACCGAATGTTGACACTGCCACTTATACAGTAACACAAACAGTTTATTCTGAGCAAGACCCGGAATCCTCTGACTCTTCAGTGGAAGATGAACAACATTCTGTTGTTGAAATGCCCATATCCACCCAAGTATCTACAATTTCCCCTAGTGCCTCAGTTCATACTGTTAGTCAACAACAATTCCAGACATCACCTTCAATGTACACTCCATCCAAAGACCTTGTTGCTGAAATTGAAGACACAACATCTAAACCAAAAATAGCTTTAAAAGCAGCCAGCTTTGACCAAGTTTTAGAACAAGGGGACTCCATTGAACAGAATCAAAGGCCTAAATCTGTAGCAGATATTGGTGACTCAGAATGGTCCATGTCTGTTGTAGATGATCACACTAAAATAGACAGCAGCTACACCAAAGCAAAGACTTTATCCTCCCAGATGCCTGTTTCACCGACACAGTCTCCTAACCTACAGTATGCTGTATCCAGTCAGCCTGAACTTCCTGCTGGATTCTCTCAGGATTTGGACTCTTCAAAGAGCACAGAGTGTGATAAAACCAAAGGAGACAGAGCCTCTGTTGAGTTCAGGATAGAAAGTAGTTTGAAAGCAAATCGACCCCCGTCTGTAGGCGATGATGTCTTTGAGTCAAGGCCCAACTGGGAAGATTGTGTGGAGACACAGATGCAGAGAATCTCAGACAGCACTACCCCAGACCAAAGTAAAGGTACCTCTACTTGGCACTATATGGTATTACTTAATCTAAAATTTACTACATGCCAGTCTCTTTTCATATTATTTTTATTTACATTATTTCCTGTTCTGTGTTGTCTTGTGTTTTGTGCTATACTTTGTCGCATCACAATGTTTTCTTGTATGTCTGTGTGTCATGTTTTGTGACTTTTTATGTCATGTTTTATTCATTTGCACATCAGTGTGTACATGAAAACTGAAATCTCAAGATTGATTGTCTACATTTATTTGCTAATAATACAGTTACCTGTGCATTGCATGCTCACTACACGTTTCCTCTTAGGAATAATAAAACAACCATGACAAGGGCACTTTTTGTGTAAAGAGTTTTAAAAGAATGTTATGGCATATATTATTTCAACAGATCTTCAGTCACCATGTTGTCCAACCTAGCTTCAATTAACATTTCTTGATCCCACTGTTAGAGGTTTAAATTAATGTTGATATATAAAGACATATAAAGACTTTACAACAACTCTACTCACGCATTTATGTGATATCTCAAGTATCTTTAGTGCACGTCCCATAATACAAAGTCAGAAATAGTTAAAATAGTCCATTTAGTTTATATCAGAAATGAAAAGAAATTTGATGTTTAATCGTTTGTGTGTGTGTGTGTGTGTGTGTGTGTGTGTGTTATTGCATTTCATTAAGTATTAATGAAAATACTCTGACTGGTGTTTACAGTGGACTGGCATGATGATGCAGATAGGAAAGAAGAGACTTTGGCCATCATTGCTGACCTTCTAGGTTTTAGTTGGACAGGTAAGTTTATCAGTATCAAGTAGTCAGATCATCAACTGCCTCTTACGTTACATAAAATTACATTGACTAGATATCATAATAGACTTTGGGGCAGTAAACACCGTAGCAACCCCTCAGAGCATCCTAGTAACCACATAACAACATACTAAAAACCACTCAGAATACTGTAGCAACATCACAGCAACACTGTGGCAACTGCTCACAAAATTCTAGCATCCTGGGGGCAAGAGAGCACCATTTTTCTTCCAAAAATAAAAAGAAAATGGAAAAAGCTTTTTTTTTAAAAAAGAAAGAAAACATGATGTTAATGCATAAGTGGATATGTTTCTTTTTTTAACAGCTTATACAATAATCTGTTTTCAGAGCTGGCCAAAGAGTTGGAGTTTAACGAAGATGAGATTCAGCAAGTGCGTGCTGAAAACCCAAATTCACTACAAGAGCAGAGTCATGCTCTTTTACAGCGCTGGGTAGAGAGAGAAGGAAAGCATGCAACTGGTAAATCCTGTTCTTATTTACTCTTTTAACAGTCAATGCCTAAAGTCCATCTTAATTGATAGTTTCTGATTATGTCTCAAATTCCACAGAAGATACATTGCTTAAAAGACTCACTAAAATAAATCGCATGGACATTGTCCATCTTATTGAGATCCAAATGCACAAGTCAGTTCAGGAGCAAACCTCAAGAACATATGCAGAGATTGAAAGGACCCTGGACCACAGCGAAGGTAGGACATTCAACACAGTCTTGTTTTAAATTTAGATGTTAAACACAAGATTTAGATCCTAAAAACAAGCCTTGAAGTCAAAGTCTTAGTTTTTACATTGTCAAAGTGAATGTTTTGTCTTTTGTAGCTCTCTCCTCAGTCCAAGAGGATGGTGACAGTCTTCGGGTGGTGCGGAGAGTGGAGACATCACAAAGGCATCCTCCAGCTGTGTCAGAAGAAGACTTATCTGTGGCCTCTCTCCTTGACATTCCATCGTGGGCTGAAACAATGGGAAACACCCATTCAGAGAGCATTCATGGGGATATGATCGAAGAATTGGAGATCAACCAGTTAGTGATACATAGATTGACTTTTACAGTGATGTTTACATTATCAAAAACATTCAGTTAATCTTCTGGTATTGCACCTCCTGGTCATTCACTTTCCACTCTCAATATCTCCTAGGGACAGCTTCACCAATCCATGGCCGTTTCAAGAGATCAAAAAAGAATCTACAAAGGAAGATGCAGATGAAGAAGTAAGTTCATGGCGTTGTGCTTTTCAAACATAATAAGAGGGTCATGTCCCGAATGTCTGAACACCAAGAAACCTTCCACAGGGACTGATTACTGAATGATAAATGATTACATGGATCTGTTTCTAAGCTGAACTCATGATCATTGCATGTGCTGTTTTAGTTTGTTGTTTGTCTCTCACTGGTTGTAAGTATCCCTTCAATATCATCTCTTTTCCCTTGTCATATTTTCCATACCTCATATAATTTATCCCATAGGTTTCTGCAGAATCTGAGGAGGAAATTCAAGCTCAGTGTGACTTTTCTGACCATGAAAATGCTTGTCTCTCTTCATCACCAATCATTTTGAACAGTCAGTCAGAATTCCAACAACAATCAACGAAGGCTTCTCAAAATGTCTTTAATTTCAGTCAGGTATCTATTACGAGATTTTCTTCAAGTGAAAATTCCGTTTTGTCAACAGTTGACTCTGAACACACAGTACCCGACCTACTGCAACACACTTCCCCAGAGAGTCAAGAAGAAGCAACTCAACTCCAAGAGCAAAAGTATCAAGATGAAAGTTCTGTGTGTCTTGATCAAGTGTCACCTGTATATGAAAAAAGTGATTTAGAAGGAAATGAAAAATCAATAGAGACGCATGACTTTGAATCTGATGAAACTTCTTCATGTCATGAAAGCAAATCATCTGAAGTTGATATTTCGGTTCCTGAGAGCAATCAAATAGTAGGCCAAAATATTAGTCCTTCATTTTCCCCTCATGCTATTGAAAGGGAGACTGATGAAGCTGTCTCACATAGTGTTGAAGTGAATCCAGGGGTTTCGAGAGTGACTCCAGACCTCATTAAGGGCTCTCCAGAATCAGATCAGGTCTGCCTTACCCCAGAAATGCTTAGTGATTTGGATCCAGTGCCATCATTGCAAAGCCATAGAGTAGAAGAGCACAATTTTGTTGAATCCTCTCCTACAACTGACTCTGCATCAGTGCAGTCTTCTACCCATCACAAGGTCACAATTTTAAATCAAGAACAATATAATACCAACAGCTCCCCACAGGAACCTTCAGAGCCCGAAGTTGATCCTAGGATAGACCAACAAACTGATTCCCATGAACAACATCTTCAACTATTAGAGTCTCCAGAGCAAAAGCCAGAAAACTTTGGAGACCATTGTGGTGATCAGGAAGATGAATATAGTCCTGAGGAGGGAAAAGTATGTACACAATTGGATTTAACTACTGAACCTCTCATAGATGACACTCATGACTTTAAGAAAGAACTGGTGTCCCAATCAGAGACTGACTCGGACATGTGGATTCAAAGTGAAACACCTCAGCTGAGTGAAACTTCACCTTTCTGTAATTCTGACCTCAGTCCACAAACACCAGAAACAGTCATAACTTGTCAACATTTTGACTTTAGGGTGAAGTCTTCTGAACTTGGATCAGCATCTATTAAGAAAACTTTTTCACAGGAGGCAGTGGTATCCAAAGGTTTAAGACGACTGCAATCTGAATCAATAATTTATAGTGCAACCCAACAGTCAGAAGAAAAGCATATTGACCGGTGTCTCTCAGAGTCCTCCGATCCTTTGATGCTCACTCTGAACATGAATCCAGCACTTAAGGAAACTGTTTCCCAGGAGGATGTACTAGCTCCGCCACTCTCTCAGGATGGCAGAGACAAGACCTTAACTTCCAAAGATTCCAGACGACTGCTGTCAGACTCAGTCATGTCTGGTGCAACATCCCAAAAATCAGAGGGAAAATACTCTGCCCGTTGTCTTTCTGACTCTTCTGAGCCCTTGGTTTTCAGCATGAGTTCCGTGCTTAAGGAACTTACGAAAACAGTTCAACCAGAACAACCATTGTCTGATCAAACACTCAGCTCTGAGATGACTGTTTCATTAATTCTTGGTGTATCCCAAGACACATTCACAGGGAAGCAGCAATCAATGGTTGAAAAAGCATCAATCGAGTCACCTAAATCTCAAATTGATCTGAGTGAAAATGTAAAATTAGAAGTCACCGATGTGCCAAAACCTGGCAAAGTTGAAAAACCAAAACACAAAGATTTACTAAGCATTGATCAACAACATGATGATTCTGATCCTGAGACTTTTTTCGACTGCAAACAGACTATCTCAGACTATTCTGAAGCAGAAGAAGACGAACCTGGGAAAGGTGCCATGGCGCTGAGTAAAAAAGTCTTACGGTCTCCTGTTCATGAATTACAACAACCAAATGTCAGAAGTCCCTCAGGATACAAGTCATCCCATGAGAGCCCTCGCTGGTCAATCAGGTCATCAGACAGTGAAGATTTCAAGGATTCTCCCATTATCCATGAACCTAATGATGATGCAGAGAAAAAAGATGTTTACTTTCCATGGCAGCAGAAAAGTTTGGAATCATCTGCACAAACTCCTCAGGAACTTCCTCCTCGAGGAGGGGCTGAGTATAATGATGATGATGATGATGATCTGAGGAGGGTAAGCGTCCTCAGCATGACCTCCCCCTCCACCCATCCTTCTCTGAGCTACCCTAATCCATTTCCTGCTGAATGAGTTTGCTGAAGGGATGGTGTTTGGTTTCTTTAAATTAGCAATTTCACTAATTATGTGGATTTTTAAATCTGAAAAACCTTTTGCTCAAGCAAAAAAAAAAAACGTGATCATGTCACATTCATGCCTTAACACCATCATAATTGCTGTCAGCTTGTTCAAATAGTGCTGATGCATGTACTACATGTATGACTGTAAGGTCATATACTAAATATGCAGGATTTTGCAAGTGAGAAATAACTATATCATAATGTAAATAACAAGTTTTTTCATAGATATTTACACTAACAACTAAGCAACTGATTGCTGGTTTTGAAGTAACTTTCTTACCACGCAGTTGTTTAATACAAGAAATCTGTTTAAAAATGGTGCATGTTGTGTCAATTTAACAATGTTTTGTTGCCCCCTCTGTTGTTTTTCTGTGATGTTTTTGATAACAAGAATTGCCATTAATTTTGATATTATTGATTTGATTGTCAAATTCTTATAATGTTTTATCTTATGCCGTTTTGCCAAAGGGGGCAGCATTGCATTAATTTTTCAGATTAATTTTTTTAATGTTTTATTATACATTTCATGTACATTTCAGTCTTATATTAAGGCCTGATTTTTCATACATACTGTTTGGTTAGGAGATTGATGAGGCATTAGGTGTGCTGTCGGATAGCTCTGACGAGGATGTGGTGGCCACCAGAGTGGTGCGAAGGAGAATAATTATTCAGGTATATCTATGACTGAAGATTGCTTGCTCCATTTTGGATGTTCAGTGTGAAAGCTGCAGTGTTTCTTAACATATATTTGGTGTACAACTTTGGCCTAGGCTTACTGAATAACCCATTCCCAACAAGCTGTGTGATGGTTTTTCATGTAGCTCTAAGATTTATTTCGGAAACGGTTTTGATTTTAAAATCCTGCATTTTCAGCTGTGACTTAACCTGCCTGCTCCTCAATTGTTAGTAGAAGTTTTCCATTTTAAGCTAAGAACACACATATGATCTCCCCTATATTATATTATATCGTTGTTGACACTTAATCACCATAAAATGGACAACTTCTACAGGAAGTGTGCTCCTTTCTATATGGGATGGATATTTTCAACATTATTTCTTTATTATTCCTCTTATGCTAACCCTAACCTTTACTGGAGCCAGGGCAGCTGTTTCCTCTTATGGTGAACACTGCTTTAAACATTGAGATGTAATGATTAACTATCTGGTTTCTTCTACAGGGTGATGATGTTCCAGATGTTCCTCCACAGTCTGTAACAGAAGAGCAATACACAGATGCACAGGGAAACTTGGTTATGAAGAAGGTAAGCATCCAAGATTTGCAGTATTCATGTATCCATTCATCCATTCTTTAATCCAACCTTCTATCCATTCACCCTTAAGTCCATCCATCTACCCTTTATCCATTTTACAATCCATCCTTCCTTTAATCCATCCATCCATCTTTGGAAACACTTTATTTTGATAGTCCACGTCTAGACATTCTACTAACTATAAGTAAATTTACAATTACATGTCAACTACCAGTCAGTCTGCTAACACTTTATTTTGATGTTCCTCCAACAGACATCCACCCTTCCTTTCATCCTTCTATCCATCCTTCCATCCATTCACCCTTTCATCCATCCATCCATCATTCCATCCATCAATCCATCCATTCATTCATTCATTCATTCACCCTTTCATTCATCCATCCATTCACCCATTCATCCATCTATCCATCCATCCATCCATCCATCCATTCACCCTTTCATCCATCCATCCATCCATTTGCCCTTTCATCCATCCATCCACCCTTGCATCCATCTACCCATTCATTCATTCATTCATTCAAAGGATGGATGGAAGATTTTATTAATTATTTCATTCATTCATTCATCATCCATCCATTCACCCATTCATCATCCATCCATTCACCCTTTCATCCATCCATCCTTGCACCCTTTCATCCATCCATTCATTCATTCATTCATTCATCCATCCTTTCACCCTTCCATCCATCCATCCACCCTTGCACACATCTACCCATTCATTCATTCATTCATTCATTCATCCAACCATCCATCCATCCATCCACCCTTGCTTCCATCCACCCATCCATACACCCTTGCATCCATCCAAACATCCATTCACTCTTTCATCCATGCATCTATCTACACTTCCTTCCTTCTTTCGTTCCTTCCATCCATCCGACTGATCAACAATGGATTTATGCTAAATACATCATATCCATACAAATTTGTTTATCTTACTCTCTCACCTTCTCAGGTGACCAGGAAGGTCATTCAACGATGTGTGTCATCTGATGGGGTGGAGACAGAGCAGGTGAGGATGGAGGGCTCCCCCCAGCAGCCTGTCAATGTGGCACAAGGGGATGGATACTCAAAAGTAATAAAAAGGACAGTACTGAAGAGCGAAGGACATCAGACAGAGGTGTGTGATGCTTTGATTACTTAATCATGTAATGAAATTAAAACTAAATCAACTTAATCTAATCAATTTAATGAAATCACTTAATCAAAATATAGCCATTTAATGAGTTTTGCTAAATGTTTTATTTCATATCAGGTGACTTTCCATGAGCAAGATGGCATGTCATCTTCCAAGGGTGAATTTGCTCTAGGTCAAGAGGTCAGACAGGTGGTCCAGACGACGATGGTACATGGAGAACAGCTGGAAAAGCATGAGGGGGATCCTTATCTTGCCTCAGACCTGCCCTCAGCCCGGGAGGATTTCACCCAGGTGAGCTGCCAATCACAGCAGTCATTTCTGACATCTATAAAACATCAGATTTTAAAGATTAGGGTCATTTTAATGAGGAAAAGTGCAGAATTACCACTGTCTTAATATTATACCTGTAATATATATTTTTCTAACCAAAAGTTCTTTCACAGTTTGTTCCAGTTTATCAGCTTTTTATGTTATGCAACCAGAAACCTGTGATAAAATTATATAAATGCCTGAGAAAGTAATTACATCTGTGACTAACAGCTGTTCTGACTTTTATAATATAATTTATAATGTATAATTTAGTGTTAATGTAGTGTGTGCCTCATTCCCTCAGGCTCTAAGCTACTTTGGAGGTTTTAGGAAGGTGCAGATTCCTCGAGTGGTAGAGCAGGAAATACTGCAGCCTGATGGATCTGTGATCAGGAGGTTTGAGAGACAGGCATGGTGTTTGTGTTCATATTAGCGTGAAAGTGTGTTTATGGGGGCACGTAGAAGTAAAAACACAAAAAAACTAAATCTAAACTATGTTCAAAAGTTTGGGGTCAGTATGTTTTTTAATCCTCTTATGCTCACAAAGGCTACATTTATTTGATCAAAAATACGGTAAAAATAGAAATATTATGAAATATTATTGCAATTTAAAATAGCAGTTTTATATTTTAATATTTTTTAAATTGTATTTTATTCCTGTGGTGGCAAAGTCTTCAGTGTCACATGATCCTTCAGAAATCATTATTATCAATGTTGAAAATGGTTGAAAATGTAATAAATTTGTGGAAACTGTGACTTATAGCAACAGAATTTAGTTCATAATAGTAAACTTTAGTGTAACGTTTGATCAATTAAAATGTATTCTTGTTTAATAAAAGTATTACTTTCTAAACCAACAACAACAAGAAATCTTACCCAAATGTTTGGTACTGTATGTAATATATTCATGCAAATGTTCTGTAGAGATTGTATTGGGAATTTAAATTTTCTATATTTGGCATTGGTGTGTGTATATTTGTTATAACAAAGCATGTCTTTACATTTTATTTCTCTTTAATAACAGTTTTCTTCCTCTCTCCTATATCAGTCTTCTGAATGCACACTTAAAATAATCTTCTATGTGCACTTGCATCTTAAATGTACACTTAAAAAGAAAAATTCATGTTTTTTTCCACTTCGAACCTTTGGAATAGACATAAAAGCATTGATTACACTGTTTCTTTCTTTCTTTCTCACTCACAGGACGAGGATGCAGAAGTCTAGGACCCACAGGAGATCAGTAGTGAGGGATCCTGGGGGACAGAAGCAGGTGTGCGTGGAGCAGATAGACGATCGGTCTGAGCCCCATGACAACCTACAGCATCACCTCCATCACCTCATTCACCACTACTGTGCCCAAAACGACTGAGAAGAAGAGAGGGAGGAAGCCAGAGAAGTCCGATTGATGGTTTCCCCCTTCATTTTACTCTCCCTATCTCCATCGCTTCTCTCTTTGAGCCTGTCTGCTCTCCTAACCACTCCTATGCACCATGCTCATGCAGTCCCAGAGTGCACTTCACTCCTGCCACTTCCAGTCTTCCTGTCCAGTCAAACTGGATGTTTGCCTAGTTTAGGTCAATGGACAGTATTTTCTCTCTCCTTATTTTCCCCAGTTTACCACAAGTGTTGATCTATTTCTGTCCTTCATTGTGACCAAATGGTGTTCTTTCCTTTCCTTTCCTTTGCTTTTTAAATCCCTCAGTTATAACACCAATGAACACACACACACACAAATCACAATAACCAAAAACGTTTTTATCAAAAGAGAGAGAGAGAGAAAAAAAGTCCTGGTCGTTCATACTCAGAACATTTAAGCTTGAACTAACAGAACCTGTACTGCACTGCCTACCACAACTATTGAATATCGTTGCATTATATCACCACATCATGACATGCTATTTTGATCTCAGCGGTTGAGATGTCTGAAAACTTCTTGCCTTCTTTATCAGCTGTTGGGGTATCGTGTGTCTGTGTATTCTATCCATGGAGAGTATATATAATATGCATTTTTAAAATGACAGTAGATCACATTAGCCACCTGTAAGGATATTAGCAGGCATGCTTAGCTAGCAGCAGTCACTTATTAATAAGACTCTTTCTGTGGTTAGACGACTGTCATTTTTCTGTTTCTCTTTGTGTCTGTGATCTGTAGCAATTCTAGTCGTCATCATCATCACATTTCAGTGCAGCTTTTTGTTGTAATAGAACACATTAACATGCGCTTTATGGTTTTAAACTCACTTTAGCAAGCGTTTCAAGAGGGACTCAGGAAGCAAAGGTGGAATCAAATTCAAGTAATCAGTTACACATATTCTATTCTATTTTTATCTGAATTTCTTTTCGTATGTTTTTTTGAGTTATTGTGTGTGTGAAATCAGAAATTAGATTTTTATTTTCAAATTATATTAATTTTGTTCTGTAGCCTACATATTGCTCAATATCAGTATGTGTCGAGGAATCTTGCTCTGAGGTATTTATGATGGTGAATGCTTTTAAAATCTTACTGGTTTCGGAAGTGAGCATAAGGGATTTATGTTTTTTTTTTTAAAGAATGTTTTATTTTGATGTATTTTGTTTATTATACATAAGTGGGGTATTCTCTTTATGATTCACCAAATCACAGGTTGGCTTCAGTTGAGACTTTTGGGAAGGAGAGCGTACCATGTGATATTCAAATGACTTTTCCTTTGAACTGCAGATTAATACAGCTGTGTTAGCAGAGGTTGTTTTTGCTGCTGATCTGAGGCCAGGTCTGCTTTTTTCCCCCTTATAATAATTTGCGTTTGGGGAAACTGGCCCTTGAACAGCATTTCAAAAGTCATCCTCTAAACACAGCAATGTCATTAAGTTGAACACTGCTACTACTTTCACTGTGACTGGCCCACGTTTGATTTACTGAATCCGCATTCTACGTCTGTGGAGATAAGAATATGCATATATATAGTACATAAATATCTATCCATAAAGGCATGTATTAGTTTACTATATGACTTTTAAAAAAGACATTTAAACACTATACCTTGGCTGCAGTGTGTGTATATGGCTGAACGAGAATAAAAGTGTATAAGTGTCACACTACGGTCATTATTTAATGGTTGTGTGCGAAGAAAAAGCTGAAACATGACATCATGCTTACAGTACATATCACACCTTTATTGTATTTTTCATTAAATATGTTGATTTGCTAGTGCCACCATGGCAACAAATTATGTAGTTCACATCCTCATATTGGCATTGAGGTTCTGTAAGTATCAGCAGAGGAAATGTCTTTAAGAAGAGAAAAAGGAAAACGGAAAGCATGGTGTTGGCATAGTCCAGTAGTGGTGAGGTTTTTCCTCAAGGAAGACCGTTCCATTCCGACATCACCTTCTATGACATCAACTTCTGATTGAGTGGCGCACAGACACTAAGTCACCACTAGGGCAGTGTGCATGCTTGTAAATCAGGCTCGGCTCAATTTCGCTCTTCTTGCCATAGGCGAAAATAATGTCGGGATAAATAAAAAGCTCAAATATGTGTGAAAATGATACATGTAGTTTCTCATAAGCTACTTATATTTCTTTTTCTCATACAGCCATGATATAAAGTCAAAGGATAATATTTTCACAGCCACACAATATAGGAAAATTAAGCTACATCGATCTGAAAGTAGGGTGATACTTCTAGATATGTTGGTGGTAATGATGATAATCGCTATTATCATCATTACCACATCAGATCCTTATGATATTGATAGAAATAAACAATTTGATAAGGAAACCATGAATTAAACAACATAAACAAGAGCAAAAAGAAACAAATTATAGCATGGTCATTCAAAAAATAGTCCTCCATGCATTACCCAATGCTTGTCAATGTTTGATGTATCATATATGCTACATTCTCTTTGATATCTGTTTTTTTTTCTCGTATTCTATGACATAAAGGTAAACATACAGTCCATATTAGTATTCTGCAGTTCTCTTAAATCAAATAAAGTAAATCAGAATCTTTATGGAGCCAAACATTGTAAACTAGCAAATATAAACCAAGCTTTTTGACAGCATTTACTAACATTTTTATTTTGCTGTAAGCCAGAATTTAAAGTACGTATTTTTTAAAGTTTCTTAAAGGTTTTTTTTTTTTTTAAGATTTTTTTTTTTTCTTTTTTTTATTTGAACGATCACGAAATATGTACATTGAGGTTTTTCCTCAAGGAAGACCGTTCCATTCCGACATCACCTTCTATGACATCAACTTCTGATTGAGTGGCGCACAGACACTAAGTCACCACTAGGGCAGTGTGCATGCTTGTAAATCAGGCTCGGCTCAATTTCGCTCTTCTTGCCATAGGCGAAAATAATGTCGGGATAAATAAAAAGCTCAAATATGTGTGAAAATGATACATGTAGTTTCTCATAAGCTACTTATATTTCTTTTTCTCATACAGCCATGATATAAAGTCAAAGGATAATATTTTCACAGCCACACAATATAGGAAAATTAAGCTACATCGATCTGAAAGTAGGGTGATACTTCTAGATATGTTGGTGGTAATGATGATAATCGCTATTATCATCATTACCACATCAGATCCTTATGATATTGATAGAAATAAACAATTTGATAAGGAAACCATGAATTAAACAACATAAACAAGAGCAAAAAGAAACAAATTATAGCATGGTCATTCAAAAAATAGTCCTCCGTGCATTACCCAATGCTTGTCAATGTTTGATGTATCATATATGCTACATTCTCTTTGATATCTGTTTTTTTTTCTCGTATTCTATGACATAAAAGTAAACATACAGTCCATATTAGTATTCTGCAGTTCTCTTAAATCAAATAAAGTAAATCAGAATCTTTACGGAGCCAAACATTGTAAACTAGCAAATATAAACAAAGCTTTTTGACAGCATTTACTAACATTTTTATTTTGCTGTAAGCCAGAATTTAAAGTACGTATTTTTAAAAGTTTCTTAAAGGTTTTTTTTTTTTGTAAGATTTTTATTTTATCATTTTTTTATCTGAACGATCACGACATATGTACATCACCAGAACAAAAGCAAGCTCAATATTAACACTCTTATCTTTCAAAATTTGATATATTGCACACACATAAATAGACATAAAAATACAGTACAGACTTAGGGAAAGGTGATTCTCTTTACATATCTATACATTTAAAATGCATACCAAAACAGCTTAAAAAAAGAAACAGAAAATAAAATGTTAAAAATACACTCCTTTTAATAATGTCCATATATGCGAATGGCCCACAGGTTTTGGTGTAGGTGATGACCTTTAGCAAAACGTTTGAATTATCTGGTCCATGTGCGATAACATGTAAACGACCCTCGAGGGGGGAGGGGAGAGGGGCGTGGTTGTTGGGAAGCAGGTGTGGCTTAGAAGACACACCTCCAGTTTGACTGACAGACAGTTGGGTTTTTGCTGATGGTTTCTCCTCAGTTGGGAAATATTGAAGCTTAATATTCCATTAACTATAAAAAAACACACAAACAAACACACATCAATAACATTTAGAAATAAGCATGATATTAAATTAGAATTAGCAAATTCCACTAAATTACGAAGTAATGTTAATGTGATATTTCTTCAGTTTGCCCAAATAAGCCACAAGGAGCAATAACAGGTCATAACATATCAAGCCTCAAGTCGTTAGCTCTGAAGATGTGTCCTCAAATATACGCTACTATTAAACATTTTTAATGTTTTTTTTTGCTCACCAAGGTTGTTTTTTTTAAATAATATTGTTCAATATTATTCTAATTTAAAATAACTCTTTTTGTATTTTAATAAATTTAAATATCAGTTATTCCTGTGATGGCAAAATTGAATTTTCAGCAGGCATCACCTTCATTCAGTGTCATAAGATCCTTCAGAATTCATTCTATTATGCTGATTTAGTGCACAAGAAACATTTCTTATTTCTATGAATGTTAAAAACAATTGTGCTGCTTTCATTTTCTTTTTCATTTTCACTGAACTGCAATAATTTGTTTTCAGGGTCCTTTGATCAACAGAAGGTTCAAAAGAACAGCATAAAAATAAAACAAAATAAGCGTGCTACAAATTAATTAAATAAAAATGTACAATTATAAAATAGAAATCTTTCGTAACATTATATACTTAGGATCAATTTAAAGGGATAGTTCACCCCAAAATGAAAATTCTGTCATTAAAGGGGTCATCCTGGGATGCCCATTTTCCACAAGATGATATGATTCTTTAGGGTCTTAATGAAAAGTCTATAACATACTTTGGTTCAAATTTCTCCATGGTAGTGTAAAACAACACCCTTTTTACCCTGTCAAAAACAGCTCTGTTCACAGTGACCCGTTTCGGTGCATGTCCCTTTAAATGCTAATGAGCTCTGCTTACCCCGCCCCTTTCTTCCGTGGCGTGACGAGCCATTCTCATGACACTGTCAACTTTAGCTGCATTTAGCCATGGAACTTGGTAACTAGCACATTATTGGGAAAGGCAATTTGCAAAGATTCATAAAAATACCCACTTCTTCTGGAGGTGAAGCTGGATCACAAATGATTCGCGCGAACACAAACGCATTTAGGTAGATCAGGGGGCGCATTCCCTTAAAAAACAAACGTAATCCACTGTGTCTTTAGTGGCTTTAGCCGATGCGTGTGCGCGGTCATAAAAGCGTTGGAACTACGCATGCGTATTGGCTGGTCTAGCCTGAAAATAGATCAGGGGGCGCATTCCCTTCAAAAACAAACGTAATCCACTGTGTCTTTAGTGGCTTTAGCCGATGCGTGTGCGCGGTCATAAAAGCGTTGGAACTACGCATGCGTATTGGCTGGTCTAGCCTGAAAAAAGCTTTTTAAACGCTATTTGAGCATAAGAAACAACATTCATGGGGCAGTTCATTTTAGATTTGGTTGCTGATTTGAAATATGTAATTTAGTCGCAAGTTCTGCGAGCAGTTTTTGAGATTTCAGGATTCCCCCATTCATTTAGATAGGACTTGGTCTTGTTTGAGCTGCCTGGAGGCGTTGCAAATATGGTGGCCGAGTGAACGGACTTTCCTTGAAAGGGACTTTGGTCACTCTGCCAAGAATCTCAGAACGGCCTGATCTGAGAAAGTAATCGTTATTATTGGGGATTTAAAAAAAGCACTGGGTAGATTTTTATCATTATAGGGTGTGTACATGATGTGTACACAAACTGCCAACACACATTTATGTTCAAACAGCATGTAAAAGTGAATTTTGCATCCGATGACCCCTTTACTCACCCCCTCATATCGTTCCAAACCCATAAGACCTTCATTCATCTTCGCAACACAAATGAAAATATTTTTTAATGAAACCCGGACTTGTGGGCTTGGAACGACAGAAGGGTGAGTAATTAATGACTGAATTTTCTTTTCTGGGTGAACTATCCCTTTAATGCATCCTCATTGAAGAAAAGTATGTGTTTCAAATTTTGATTTCTTGAAAGGTCAGACTCTGCAGAAACCATTTCAAATGAAATGATAAAAACCTTTTCACGCACTTTCCTGAGAATGACCCTTTTGTGATCATGACATTTATTATCGCATACATTAAACAGTATAGACACTCTATGAGTCTTACTTGATGGGCACGCTGGGGGCTCCAGAGCGATGGAAGTGTATGTTCAGCCATTTGCCATCTCGACGGTGCCAGACGCGGGTCTCCTCTGACTGCATGGTGCGTGGTATCCCACTGCCATCCATGTACTGGGTCAGGCGGATGTATGCGATGCATGCTGCATCCTCCCCAATCAGGTGCACGTGGGGGTTCAGTAGGATAGTGTGTACAGGTTTATTACCTTTGGACAGTGCTAAAGGAGATGACAAAGAAATACAGTGATCAAAATACTGTTGTAAAACTATTCTCTTTAAGTTTTGAGTGTGAAAAGATATGGATCTAGATACCATTCTCAAAGTAGAACCTGTGAAAGTCATGCCCCTCCACCAGGTTTCCCAAAGCTTCTGGCTCAAAGGAAGTAAGACCAGGATCGCAAATCTTTCTGTGATATAAAGAGTAGAAAGTAAAGCTAAAAGTCTTAATTTGTGTGCAGACATTGGTAAAAAAACACTAGAAATCTTCCCATTTCTGCCCATCAAAGCTGTAATTAAGTGAGGCTTGGATCTAAATATAAATGGAGCACCTGTTGTGAAAAGGTGACCATTAAATATAATCTCAGTAATCAAGAGAAAATATAGGAATGCATTAGCGTTCTGTGGTTGCCATAGCAACAGGGTTGACCGTTCACTCACGCGTAACTCTCAAAGTCTCCGTTGTTGATGGATTCAATCAGCTGTTCAGTCACCTTTATGATGTCCTGCTTTCGAGCTGAAACACACAGAGACGTCTAGCGAGTGAGTCAGACACCCTCGCAGCATGAGAACCAATATTATTATTCAACATCCCAACTCATTTCAAAACTTGTCTGAATTCATGCAATCCACAAAATGCAAACCTTTGTTTAGAAAGCACCAGACAAAATTTACAGTGAACCTTTATCTCTTCTGTCTTTGCAGGTTTTAGTTGGCTTCAGGGCTGGGCGATATATTAGCAATGAATCATAAATATTGTAATTAGCACTTTTTATTTGGCCATTACATTTCCTAAAGAGTCTGTCACAATAATGTACAAAATGTTGACTGTTCGGAAGTTTGATTGATTGATTTCATTGAATCAATTCAAAACTGATTGAATGATTCTTTTGCGACAACACTCATGTTTACTTTAATTCCTGCATGGCATAATAAATATAGGTAATGTATTAGTTTACAGATGCATTTAAATAAAATATACATTTTCTTGTTCATTTAGTGAAAAACCATGGAAAACTGGACCCGACTACTTCTATAAAAAACTAACAAACTTTAACTAAAAAGGAAAAACGGCAACACTTTAGTATAGGGACCGATTCTCACTATTAACTAGTTGCTTATTAGCATGCCTATTATTAACATATAGGCTGTTTATTAAAGCACATACTCTGCATGACCATATTCCGCATCGCTACCCAATTCCTAAACTTAACAATACGTAGCAAATTAGGAGTTTATTGAGGCAAAAATCATAGTTAATGGTTTGTTAATGGTGAGAGTTGGACCTTAAAATAAAGTGTGACAGAAAAAAATTCCATCCTCCAAGCCATTTCAGAGCAAATACATTCTGTAAATATTGAGATATACAGATTTTAAATAAGATTTTATAAGAGGTTATATCACCCAGCCCTAATTGGCTTACATAGAGGTTGTGTGAATTTTATATATAATGACTATGTACAATCTGTAGTTGTTCCGTTTTCTTTATTATTAACAAGAGGCAATTTTGACACTTGGTAAACAAAGGGCACCCAAAGGAAAGCGTATTCCTAGTACTCCTAGTGCTCTACGATGAGTTTCAGAATGAGCAGTGTTTACTGGTAGAAAATCACAGGCAACACTTTCATTCAAAGTATTAAAGTTTAAATTTACCTTTATTGATAACTTGGGAGTTTATTGAGGCAAAAATCATAGTTAATGGTTTGTTAATGGTGAGAGTTGGACCTTAAAATAAAGTGTGACAGAAAAAAATTCCATCCTCCAAGCCATTTCAGAGCAAATACATTCTGTAAATATTGAGATATACAGATTTTAAATAAGATTTTATAAGAGGTTATATCACCCAGCCCTAATTGGCTTACATAGAGGTTGTGTGAATTTTATATATAATGACTATGTACAATCTGTAGTTGTTCCGTTTTCTTTATTATTAACAAGAGGCAATTTTGACACTTGATAAACAAAGGGCACCCAAAAGAACTCCTAGTGCTCTACGATGAGTTTCAGAATGAGCAGTGTTTACTGGTAGAAAATCACAGGCAACACTTTCATTCAAAGTATTAAAGTTTAAATTTACCTTTATTGATAACTTGGCAAGCTAAGGGACAGCAAAGAGATGGCTCATAATTGGTCAAAAAGGCAATTTCTTATGAAAGCACCAAATAAAACTAGTGCAATGTATCTATGTCTACTGATGATGACATAATAACTCCAGCCCACCGGGCAAAAAGACGTTAAATGTACTTTGTACTTTTAATATTTAACAGTTCATTTAATGTGAAATCTTAATTATATCATTAAATCACTCATTCTCCAGCACTGAGTTTATGGTGTCTGCAAATTAATAGATGAAAAGAAAAAAAG